GGCTGCCCGGGCAGGCTGTGGATGCCTCATCCTGGGCCAGGTTCACGGCCAGGTTAGATGGGGCTGAGCAACCAGATCTGGGGAAAAACGTCCCTATCACGGTGGGTGGTTGGAATTACAACATCTCTCAGGCCCCTTCCAACCACTCTATGGTTCCATGACGTGAAAAACGCCAATCATTGGTTTTTAAAATTTTTTTAATGTTTAATAATAATAAACTGATTATAAAAATAGTAATACAGTTAGAGTAATAAAATTTAGAGTTAGGACAATTACAAGACAATAAAAAGCAAAGAATTACGGATATCTGGATGCTCTCAGACACTAAGTCATGAAAAGCATGACCTGTGAACAAAGGAATAAACTTAAAAGCAACAGCCTGTTGCATATTCATGTATCTCATATATGATGCATAATTCCTTACAAATTAAGAACTTTTCTGGTTTTTGTCAACTTCTTCTCCTTAATTTTTGTGGTTCCAAAAAGAGGGAGAGAAGGTGGAAGAATGTTTGTCTTTTCTGATAAGGAGGCAGTAACTTTCATGCCCCACCCCTTTGCTGACATCTCTGTGTGAAGAGTTCCTTGATTATCTCATTTTCTCACTTGACCTTGTAACAAATCCAGTATTGCAGAATTTCTATTTTAACCTTATGTTGTAACCAAAACCTGTATTTAACACACTTAAGAGAATTAATACAGCATAACTTTCTAACATTACACGTATAATATTCATTGTAACATTTGCGAAAAGCCAATCATAAAATGCGCATTTTTCAGAATGATTCTATGAAAGCAACCGTGAGATCGCTTTCTGGCCACGTTCCCACGGCGCTTATCTCATCCCACAGGGCAGAAACAGCACGCTTATCTGGGCAGCTGCACTACCTCCCCGCAAACCCTGGCAGCCTGCTACGCACGTACTCCCAGGCAAGCATTCCATGGTTTGTTTCTCTGAGTAAGGTGCTGCCCGCAGTTCCCACCCTGCTCTGTGGACACCTGCACCCTAGGACACCCCAGCAGATACCCAGGGGTAAACTATTTTAGAGTGAACATGACGCTCACTTAAAAGGGCGAAGGCATCACTCTTTCGCTACCCTGAAATAAGCAGAACCTTTGGACATCGGGGACAGGACGGAGCCGAGCCAAGCCGAGCCGAGCCGAGCCGGGCAGGGCAAGGCAAGGCCGGGCTGAGGGGAGCAGCGCGCAGCGACGGCGCTGAGCGCCGGGCCGGGCTGCGCATGCGCGAGCTGGGCTCAGGCCTCGCCGCTGGCCAATCAGCAGCGCCCGCGCCCGCCCCGCCCGCCCCGCTGGCCAATCAGCGGCGCCCCCCAGCCCCGCCTCCCCGCTTCGTGCCCGCGCCACCGCTCCGCCCGAGCGCCGCCGCTCCTTACGTAACGCACGCCGCGGCCGCCGGGGATTGGTCGGGAGCGGCGAGCGCGCGCGTCACGCGGCGGCGGTCTCGGGAGTGGCGGCACGCGATTGGCCGGCCCCGGCGGCAGCCAATGGGAGCCGAGGCGCTGGATTCAAACGGGGCGCGGCGCGGGAGGCGGCGGTTAGTGCGCGAGCGGCCGTGAGGGGAACCAGAGCTGTTGTTGGTGCCGCTGCTCCTGCCCGTGCTGCCGCCCGCCATGGCCAACAAGCAGATCTACTACTCCAACAAGTACTCCGACGAGCAGTACGAGTATCGGTAAGGAGCTGTAGGGGTGAGGAAGAGCTGTTCCGTAGGAGGGCAGCTAGGCCGGGCGCTTTGGCTCGGGTGTGCGGGCCGCTCTCCGGGAGTGAGGCGGCTCCGCCGGGAGAACGGAGCCAGAGAAAGCGCCGGGCCACCGGGAAGGGGCTGTGCCGAGCCTCTCCATGGGGGTTTTGCGCGTGGCTTTGGACTGGCGGGCGAAGTGGGTGAGTGACCGAATGCTGTTATCGGTAGGCGCAGATCGCTCGGTGAGCGGCCAACACAAGCCCTGGCCACAGGGCGATGGCGGAGCGGCGGCACCCGCTGCGCTAAGTCCGAGGAAGGGGTTATGGCAGAGCCTGGGATGGGGCAGCGACGTCCCCTGCCGACGGGGAATTGTTGAAGTTTAAGTCTTCTAGACATAGTATTACAAATACTTTAGAAGTCCAAAGTTCTTATTTTTCAAGTGGCTGATATATCAGCCTGTTTCCAGGAGCGCATGCTTCTCTGAGTGTATAGTCATTGGATTCCGAAGGGGTTCAAATTTCATCTAGAAGACAATTTGCCTTCCAGTATGCGGTTCCTTTACAGATGTAACGTTTAATAGTCATAAGTAACTTTAAACTGGGTTCTGGGACAGGTTTCATAATCAGATTCATGCCGAGGGTCGGGGCTCTTGTTTTCTTTATAGGCAAAGTGAGTATTCATAACGTGCTTGCTATATTTCTGTGCAGATCTGTTCCAGTTTTCTAGTGCACAGCATTTTGTGTGTGTGTTTCATAATTAAATCTCTACAGACATGTGATGCTGCCACGAGAACTTTCAAAACAAGTGCCAAAATCTCATCTGATGTCTGAAGAAGAGTGGAGACGACTTGGTGTTCAGCAGAGTCTTGGCTGGGTTCACTACATGATCCATGAGCCAGGTGAGCACATATGAACAGAATTAGACAAATGAAAAAGTCAAATATCAGACTGGAGATTGTTCCTGCCTCTGCCCACAGAACCAGGCTTTTTATGAGTTCTTAAACAACTTGCGCATACAGTGACTGAAAGTTAATATAGCAGCATATCTTTAAAGCGTAAAGCTGACACACCTACTGTTTTGTACAACAACTTAATAGATGCTCATGTCGACAAGGTCCTGTATTAATCTGAAAATTCTAGAGCTGTAGAACCTCCTGAAAAATCAGTTTCAGTTAATGGGGTGCGAAGCCCTCAGGCCCTTACTAACTAGGATGTTGGTATTGCCGGAACAGCCATTCCAGGCTTGTAGCATTGACAAACCTGGCTAAAAAGTAACAGGTTGATTGATACATTGCAGCAGCAGGAAGTTCCAAGTTTCTGAAGAATCAGCTGAATAAATTAGCATAGCCTTCCCTTGTTTACCTTCTTTGGGTACCTTTGATATTTTAGACTTTTTTTGGAGGCATTTAAAATTAAGAAGACTGATAATAATGTAAGCTGGCTGTATTAGCCAAAATGAATTTTGTTGGTGTTTGAAATGTGCCTAACAGACAGTATCAGCAGTTTGTTAGTCTAAGTTACAGTAACAGTGTTTATCACATAGCCTAGCATAATGAGATACTATAAAATAGTCTGTATTTTCCCAGTACTTCCCTCCTGTAAGGATCTTAAATTTATGATACTAGCAGCATTGGGTATAAGAATAAAAACTTGACTGTCGTAAAAGTACTGCAAACTTGGTATGATAATATTACATGTGGGGCCATACTTAGGCTTTCTAATTATTTATTTGAAACTAAGCCTCTAAACTAAGTTCAAGAGTAAAGAAATCCCTTTAATTAAGGTTTGGACAAACTGACACTTTGTTCAATTTTCTTTCTGCAGAACCACATATTCTGCTCTTCAGAAGACCACTTCCAAAGGATGAGCAGAAATAAGCCATGGCCTTTTGAATCTTCTGGAACTATGTATATGAGTGTATATATGTTGGTAGTATTCAGTGAATACTTTTAATTTACAAAACTTACATCCAAACCTGTGCATGAGCTGTATTATTCACAGCAAGAAAGCTCAGTTGAATGCAATTCCAAACAGGCTGCTATGATGTTCAAAGAATGATTATCTTTTACTGTTAATGGAAGTGCCTCTCTGAATCAAATTGTGTTGTTCGTGTTGCATGCTCTGATTAGCTCATGACTTGTTGGTGTTCTGTAACTTTTGCACTCATATTTTCTGCTGTAGTGTACTATGTTCAAATCCAGTAGTTCAACTGTTGAGTAGTAAGTAGGCTTAAGAAATAAACTGTTTAAATGTTTCATGAAACGTAAGTGTCTGGTGTTGTGATTTGTGGGTCTCAGATTCAGTCAAAGAGAGAAATGAGAGTTTCTAGCCAGGCAGAAGCCTGGGAAAGCGTTGGAGAAGAATGTAAATAATTCTTTATCTCTTGTTGTTCACATTGTTTATAGTTAAGTTCTATCACTGTGCGTCAAGCACTCTGCACCAATGGTGTGGTTTTCACTTCAGGACAGTGGAGCTGGTCCTCACGAAGCTCTGTGTAAAGAGCGATGCATTTGAATAAACCGCAGTTTTACTCTCAGCAGCCTTCTGAGTCATGCCCATCCTGCCACGATAGCAACAGTGATTCAATGTACAAAACAAATATTCATTGTCTAATATTTTTTAAAAGTGCCTACTTCAAAATACAAAACTCATTTGATGAACTTGGTATAAACTTAGGCTTGAGTAGTACTCAGTATTTCAAAGGGCTTTTTAGACTCCTTTATTCAACTTTACCAACACAAGTTAATTTTTACTCTGGGGTTTTAGCCTGCTCTTCCTTTCTTGCATCCAAACTGTCACTGTGGCTTTTTGGGAGGTGGTTCTGTGTACTGAGTAACGGGTTCATTTCAAAGGCAAACTTATATATTAAAATATATATATATAAATATATATTATGGTTGTGCACAATTTGGAAGGCCAACAAAAGCAGGGCCTTCATAGAACTACACATAACAAAAGCATGTGCTCATGTCTCAAGGAGACAGACCAAGTAAGTAACCTGGAAAGTTTGGCGAGGAGAAGAACCCTTGTGGTCTTTCCTCCAAAAGCTGGTAGAAATGTCTCTCAAGTGTTGGCGCGTGCCAGGCCTGGCTAGGGCGGGACTGCCCAAGTCTGAAGCAAGCACCTTCACTAACAACAACGCCGTGAGCTGTTGTTAAGCCGTGCTTTACCCCGAGACTGTTCCCTGCACGCCCGGGGGCTGTCAGCGCTGCTCGCCTGGGCCGGGCCTGGCCGGGCCCGGCGCTGCCGCCGCCTCCCGCCCGTCCCTCGCGCTCGCGGCAGCGGCGTCATCGCCCCGCGCCGGGCGGCGGGAGCGGGGCCGCGCCCCGCGCCATGGCGGCCCAGCGGCGGCCGCGCTCGGGCCGCGCCGGCCAGGTAAGGGCGGCGGCGGCGCCCGCAGTCCCCTGCCCCTCCCCGGCGCTTCCCGGCGCGGAGCCGCTCTCCGGGAGCCGCCCGGGGGCGGATCGCGTCGGGCCGCGCCGCGGTGCCGCTCCCCGCCCCGCGGGCCGTTCAGCAGCCCGGCCCGAGCGCTCCGGCTGCCCGAACACGTCCCCGGGCAGGGCGACTCCCGCCGCCCCCTGGAGCAGCCCGTGGTGCGGGACGGGGGCAGAGTCCTTCTGGAAGGGTACAGCCGGGGGGCACGGGTCGCTCCCCACAGGTCGGGATGGGCAGCTCCAGGCATTAACTTCCAGTGAGCTCACGTATGGAAATCTTTAATCGTTCAAAGTGGAGGGTCGGCTGCAAGGACAGGTACATCCCGGACAGTGTAAGGCTGGCTGACCGGGTTCTAACCTTTAGTGGCACTGTTACGCTCATGGACCTATCACCCAGTCAGGTTCAGGGCTCTTAGTGGTCAGGCTGCACTCGCCGTTGCTTCCGGCATGTTTTGATGACATGGCAGTAAATACTTGGAGTTTCATTTCATTGTCCTTCCATATATACATATCCAGTTTAAATCGATGGCAATTCAGAACAAATGGAAAGCTTGTCTTAATAAATTTGTGTTGTGCTAGAAACAGGAAGGCTATAAAACAAAGTGTTCATTTCAGCCTTAAAATACAGATGTGCACAAAGTCATTAGTGTTACATACATGCTACAGAGTTTGATTAACAGTAGTGTTAGTATATTTATTAATTTTAGTTTGTACTGTTAAAATTTGAAGAATTTATATATCTGCACTTACTGCATTTAGTTTTAAAGCAGGCTTCTCCCCTTTACATAACTGACCTTTTTGAGGGTTAAATGATGAATGAGGGTATTAAGTGACTTTACAGAGCAGTCAGATGTTTCTTTAAATTCCTTAGTTTTATTTTCACTTTATTTTTCCATTTCCTTTTGGTGAGCTTTGTTGTTTTGCATGTTTTGGTAGAAGAGGGCAAACTAACCCTTTCCAGTGACAGTTAAGCTCACGAGACTGAGTGTTTTTCACTTAAATAACATTAATCTCCAAATGCACGTAGCCAAAAAACGTTTTGTTTCTCAGGGCATCAAGTTGTCAGCAGAGGTCAAACCATTTGTTCCAAAGCATGCGGCGGTAACTGTGGCATGGTCAGAACCCTCAGAAGCATGTGTCTTTCCTAGGTACTTAACTACATGCTACCCATTTGTTCAGGAACCATCTTTGGATAAGTATGTATATTTTCTGAATCTTATTTCTTGGGGGATTTTGACCTTCTGGTTTTGGATGTTGAGTATCTTAAGAAGTAAGATTAAAGGTTCCAATATGTTGTTAGTCCAACTCTAGAAATGTTTCTGCATTATCTTAATGATTAAGTTTTTACATTTAAGTTCTCTGGGTGTATACCAGGTACCTGGTCATTTGTTCACAAGGGTCTGTATTGTTACAGAGTGTTAAGGAGAATTTGGTGTTCTGTAATGATTTGTCTGGTTTTTGTGTGTTTTGGAAGGAGCTGAAGCCAATCTTTGGATGAAAAAATGGTTGTGTTGCAACCAGGTTAAGGTAGATGTAGTTGTACCCAAGTAAAATGATTCTTCAATAAGATTTCTAAACCTGTAAAATATTTACTGTATGGGGTCTCTCCTGGATCTCCATGATCTGTGCATCTCCAGAAAGGCAGTTTTACTAAAAAATGTTAGGGGTTTCTGCAAGTTTTGGGATTTTTCTATTATAAAAATACTTTATAAGAAGCAAACTGAAAAAAAAGCCTGCATAGCAGAATAGGAAATAATTGAGTCTTGTAAGAATCTGATGATGCTACATAGTTCTCTCATTGCTTCTTAGGACCCTAAGCATTGGATTGATTATACAATTGCTGCAAAGTTAATGATGTTTCTTTAAAAATTCAGAGCATTAATGAACACAATCATTGTAGGCCATCATTTTATCCTACAGGAAATCTTAGTATTTTCAACCTATTTTCATTTGTACTAGAAATTTAACATTGCAGTGAGTATGGCCTGTTCTGTGCATTAGAGAAAGCCCACAGCATTAGCATGAAATCAATTGCTACAAAAAATACCCCACAACCCAGACAGCAGTAGTCTTCTAACGAGTGTTCTGCCGTGTTGGCACTGAGACATAGTTACAGTTAACTCTCGTTTGGTATATTTCTTCTTTGTGTGTAAACTGATGATAAGCGTTGTTTTGACTACATTCTGTCGGAATTGCAGCAGGTAGTACGAAGTGTGTTATCTGAAGTCTTCTGTATCTATGGGAAGGTTTCTCTGTCATTATCTACACAAAATTCTGAGGCTGGCAGGTTCATGGAGAGCAGCTTTAAAAACTGAGTGCAGCTTTCTGGAACAGAGAATTTTCTGTTCTCCCTAATCAAATCTGAACTCTATGTATTTTCTGGACAAAGTATAGAAGGAAATTGAAAGGGAACTTTTGAGCAAACATTTGAGGGAAAGAGGCATGCCCCGGACATGCTGTGTTTTCATTAATTGTGATGGTTACATGCTGGTCAGGTAATTATTGTTTTATAATTCTGCATTGTATTTCATACATGTTTTATATGCCATAAAAAGTTATACTTCCACTTTGTTATTGTCATTTTAAGATAGGTTTTAATGTTTGTTCTTTTGCAGTCAAGTATGTGATGCATGTCATGTCCTTACACTGTGTTTTTGGTTTGTTTTACAAGAAAAAGCTTACTGAAAATAAGCATGAAGAATCTCAGTAACCTTGAACAGGCATGAGAACTGCAAAGCAGACTAGCTTTGACAGTTGGAAATGGATAACGTGTGTTTTAAGATACTTGCTTAACTACAAGTTTTCCCAAAACAAAATTAATTGTTTTTAAATAAGTCTGTAGCAGTTAGTAAATACCTAGTTGAAATAACGATATAGTTTTCTTTTGAAATAGAGCTTTCTTGTTAAACAAATTCTTTAGACAAGGAATATGTTTGTCAAGGCAAACAAGTAGGTGCTGAAGACTTGCCACAGGATGACTTTCATTTCTGTTTCAATATCCATCACATAGTGTTGTGGGAGATCCTGCCTTCCGTGAATACTCCAGCTGCTCTTACTCACCTGATGTTCTTGCAAATGTGTATCCAGTAGCTGGCTCACAGTATCAATCTAACAACTCAACACTCTATAATGGTTCAGGAGTAGTCAGTGAATCTGCTGAGCAAACATATCCAGTCAGACAAGAAAGTAGGAGTCTTTCAAAGGTGAGCAAATTTGTGTTTTCTTAAAAATTAAATTCTTACTTTATATCAGTCTTTATAAATGTTTGGTTCATATTTTTAAAGTGAATCATCTGTCTTTCTTGTAGTGATCATCAATGGCATTTAAAAAGGATAGTAGTGTAGTGTCCCCAGCTTCAGAATACCAAAAAGTTCATGGAATTGTACACTTCAGATTAATAGAATCTTTCAAGCAGCATTTTTGAAACATGAGGGGAAATAACTTTTTTTTTTTTCTCTCAGAAAGAAGCATCTAAAGGTGTGGGAGAGGAGGTGGGGAGCACTGTTCATTTGTGAGCTGTGCTGTCGTTTTTCACTCTTTGGGCTTTCAGGGAGGGGAGAAAGGCTTTTTTTTTTTAAGCCCTGTGGCAGCTTCCATTAGCCTGACTTAAGACAGACCTGGTATCTGTAATCATATGTTTAACTGGTAAGTCAAAGACCACATCTGTTGTTGAAGGATTTTCAAGACTTGCTGCAGGTTGAAGACAATCCACAAGAAGGGAAGAACTTGTGCTGCTGGGGAGAGGGAAGAAAGGTTCATGTTAGAAATGTAGTCCTTTTCAGTCAGAAATATACCAATGTTCTGTAAATATCTTCAGTCATCTTTGTCTCTGTCTGGGGATAAATTTCCTGAAACTTGCAAAATATTTTCAAACAAAAAATACATAAACCTCTCAAAATATAAAAGGGAAAAAATTCTAATGTGTTTTAAACTCATTTCCCTCTGGGATTAGACATTGTGTTTCTTAGATTCGTACAACTGCTTTTGTTTCCAGGAGTTTTATATGATCTGTTCTACAGTCACATCCTTTTGCTGCACCTTACTCCCTAGGTAGAGACCTAAGTAACTTCACTGTGATCAAGCCTGTGTAGAGGATTTGTATGGACTAGGTCCTTAACATGCATTATTAGACATAAGGTACAAAGTCTAGATCCCTAAAATTATTTGTTTTCTTGCTGAGAGAATTATGTGCTGAAACTGTTTGGGGAGAGGATGAGCTCAGCATTAACACAAGTGATGTAATGTGAAAAAACTTAGTTAAGCTTCTGGGAGGACTTCTGTGATCTTTGTAGGGGCCTTGTACTGTTTATTATAGTCTTTTTGTCTTTTTCCCTTGTCATATATTCTTTTGTGAATTTCAGAGAAGTGATTTATTTTTGCAGCTTTTAATAGTTGCATCCTGTATCCTTACGCTTTAATAATTTGCCTTTGGGTATCAATAAATGCCTTGTCCTCCCACCCAAGGAAACAATTTTGCTGCCAGATGTCCTCTGAATTTAGTCCAGCATCCTGTGATCAGAGTTCAGCCATGTGTCTAGGCTACTGTGGTGTAGTTTGCATAGATGCAAACCTCTGCTTGTTCCTTGCTTGCTGATTTCTAAGCCCAGTTCTGCCAAACTGTATTTCGTGGAAGAATCATAAGATTTTCATGACTCTGCAGAATGGGTGAATGTGTGTCCTTTACAGGGATCACATAGCTATGTCTTCTCTACTACTTTACTCCAAGTTTTTTGGATGTTGCGACATCAGTCTTGAACAATTTGCCCATGACATGTAGTTTAGTTAAAAGATGGCATACTTTTAAAATTTTAGCCCTGTTGTAGAAGAAATTTTGTTTTAGATGATCATACTGGATGATTTAATACCAAACTATTTTTAACTATTGGAAATGCTCTGATTAAAAAATCAGATCTCAAAAATGCAGTTGTCTAGAAGCATATATATATATATATATGTATCCATCTTACTTGGGCTGTAATATATGCTAAAATAGCATAGGGAACAAGGTAGATGAAATTAAATACCATAGCTCTACATGGCTATTAGTATTTTTATTGATTACTTGTGTTTATGGTATACTATTTTTTAACTATTTACTTTTGTATTAACTTGGTGGTCAGATTCCAGGTACAGAAGTGGTTAACTGTAACTCATGGCAAACTTGCTCACTTTGCGAAGTTTCAGTAAAACTTAGTAAATATGTCACAAATACTTGCAGCAGAGGAGATCAAAAGAAGGTGAGAAAAAACTCGACAAAAAAAGGCATGATGGAGGTGAAGCTTCTGTCAGAGTTGTGAACAGGACTTCATTCCAGACTTCTACATGCAGCAGAGATTCTGTGAAGCCAGGTACGAACATGTTGTTTGGTTATAAGTACGTGGAATAGATGTGGAATGGGTGTCTGTGCAATATGCTGCAGTTTGTGACTATGTTTCTAAATCTAGAATAGTTAAGGAAAAAGATACCCTTTTCTGTACCCTTTTCTGTGACTCTCTTGAGAAGGAGTGGTGACGTGGCCTTTCCTGATTGAACAAGTTAATATAAACTGATACAAAAAATTTCTAAAACAAGCATCTGAATTTACACTTGCTTGTTCAGTGTTGTATTTGCATGTTGATTATAATTGCTAGTTTTTTTAATTTAATGTGAGCTGTGCATAGCAACAGTCCTCATGACAATTACTGCAGTGTATAAAACATAAAACATACTTATAAATGATCATAAGCAAGTTTAATTACTTAGGCTTTACATGCTTTATTTAGACAGGTTCAATAAAGCTACAAACAAGAAGTCAACTGCAATTCCAAAACCAGAGTCTCATCCTGTACCCACATTTGAGGCTGGCATTCTGGATTTCCACAAGTCACAGAGTTTGGGAAGCAGTGAGGTACTGAATGTACACCATAAAAATACACCAGTAAGTTTGGTGAAAAGTAACACTGTGTCCTTAGTCAACCTCATGTGTCTCTTCTGCTGGACACCAAGGATAACCCATGTTGCAGAACTTGTAAAAATAAAACTTGTCAAAAATACAATAATTATTAATGCAAGTATTTTGCATTTAGTATGGCAGTTTAAGACCTATCTAAATACCTTGCGAGCAAGGGAGTTCAGAGCTAGAGGTTTTAGGGCTCTTCTTCTAGGTGGTGATGTCAGTGCTTGCTGTCTCCTACTCTTTCTTCATGGGCTTTCCTTGTCTGTGCTGCCATAGATAGAGGAAAGCCAGGTGCCACCAGAAATAAATGTAAATATGTATGGTATGGTCTAGATTGCCTGTAAGGACCATATTACATTCCTGTATTTAGCAGCTTACTGTTTTCTCTTTCATCTGGAAATAATAAGTGAGCAGTCACTTATCCAATAGTTTCCACACATTAAAAAAAAAAAAAAGTCTGCATTGTTGTACTTAATTGGATTCTGCTAAAGGTTAAAAATAAGAAACTTTAAAAAAATAAGAAAGGTTGAAAATACTTCTATAAAATAAGAAATATTTCTTTAAAATAAGGAAGGTTAAAAATAAGAAACTAAGAAAATTCCAGAAGGGGAAGAAATATTGTTGAATGTTATTCTTTCTTTCTTTGGCTCCCTGTTACTAAATAAAATACTGAAGTATTCAGCAGTGTATCACATATATTTAATCAAATAATAGTGATTAATGATTAAGAATTCTGAAGGATCCAAGCAGAATATTTCTGATTCTTCTGAGTAGAAAACTGTCTGTAATGAAAGACCTTTCTGCTAACCCTTGAGTGTCATTTTTCATTATTTGTTTGAGTTTGAGGATAGAATTTATTTTTAATATACATGAAATACCAAAATATTTTCTTGTTTATTAGATCATTGTCTTGATGCTTTTGTAAAATATAATAAGGCACAATCTTGCCTGTACACCAGTGAAGAGACACCTCCTCAAATTCTGTTATACCATCGGGCTGAAATGATGGTTCCACTAAGATCAGCAACAAAAAGGCCAGAAAGATCCTTATGCCCTTATCTGTAGATGGTTTGAGAATTTTTAGTTTATGGTGGTTTATTGTGTTTAGCTGCGTTTAGGTCAGTGATTTTAATCCTTTTCTGTTACCTGACCATCTGTTTTGCAGGAAGATACTTCTGCAAAAAGCAAAGCTTCACCAAAAGCTTCAGATGAAGCAGGAGCCAATTCAATTCCCTCTTCACTTGATGGTAGGGGTAAGTTTTAAAACAAAAATTATTTGCCTGCATTTTTAACTGCTTTTATCTCAGCTGTTTGGAAAACTAAAGTGTTCTGAGGAGCTGTTGATGTGTAAAGTAAAAAAAACAAAAAAATAGGAGCAAGCTTATTATAAAAGGAAAAAAAAACAGAAATAACGCTGTATCAGTTTCTTTCAAATGAGATGACCACTTATCGCTCATTCTTGCTCATATTTCATCAGCTGGAATTTTAGAATTGAAGAACAATTTAGTTTGGAAGAGACCGTAACTAACACTGCCAAGTCCACCACTAAACCATGTCCTTAAGTGCCAAGTCTCCACATGTTTTAAATATCACCAGGAACAGTGAATCAACTGCTACACTGGGCTGCCCATCCAGTGTTTGATAATGCATTTGGTAAAGAAATTTTTCCAAATGTTCTTAATCTGAATCTGAATCTGAATCTGAAAGCACCTTGTTACAACTTCAGGCCATTTCCCCTGTCTCTTGTCCTCTGGGAGAAGAGGCCGACCCCCACCTGGCTAAACTCTTGTTTCAGGTGGTTGTGGAGCGTGATCAGGTCTCCCCCGAGCCTCCTTCTCTTCCAGGCTGAACACCTCCAGCTCCCTCTGCTGCTCCTCACAGGACTTGTGCTCCAGACCCTTTCCCAGCTCTGTTGCCCTTCTCTGGACTTGCTCCAGCACTTCATGTCCGGGGCCCAGAACTGGACACATTCGAGGTGTGGCCTCACCAGTGCCAAGTGCTGCTGCCACACAGTTGCTGCCACAGGCCAGGATGCCACTGGCCTTCTTGGCCACCTGGGTGCACTCTGGCTCATGTTCAGCTGCTGTTGACCAGCATCCCCGGGATCTTTTCCTGTGGGCACCTCTCCTGCTGCTCTTCCCTAAGTCTGTAGCACCACATGAGATTGTTGTGACAATCTGAAGGACAGGTTCATTTCAGCTTGCTGAACCTCATGCAGTTGGCCTCAGCCCATCAATCCGGCCTGTCCAGATATCTCTGCAGAGCCTTCCTACCTTCCTAACAAAAAGCACTTTTGCCTGGTTTGGTGTCATCTGTGAACTTGTTGGCTTGATCCTGGTCATGGATATATTGCACAGGACTGGCCCCAGTACTGAGCAGGGGAAAGTGAAGAATGCTGTCTCCAGTACTGAGTCCCATTTTGTTGTGTCATTGATGCTCAAGGGAAAATATTTCTGTAGTTGCCTCTCATGTTGTTTCAGGTGAGAAAAGGAACATGTTTTGGTTATTGGAAGCCTGTTTAGTCATATGCAGATTTTTTTCCAAGAATAAATGAGATGCAGATATTGATTAGTCTTTATATGCAGATTTGTTTTAAATAGCTGGCACCCCAGAGTTTAGTATGTACCTAAAATTTTTCTATGTCCTATGTTATTTCTGTTAAGAGAACCATGATGCTGAAACCCCTCCCTTTTTTTTTTGTGCTTGTTCATTTTGTTTGGGAATTTGTGAGGGGAGGGTGGCCTTGGACTTTTTTTTTTTTTTGTTCTTGTTTACCTGTTGTCTGGCTGTGGGGATGAAAATATTTTTTTAATTGCTACAAGCTATCACATGGCTAGTTTCATGTGAAAAACGTTCTGTTCATCAGGACTGTCTTGGAGTCATCACATGCATTAAGATTGAATTGTCGGAGTGCCTCTCACTCAATTTCTGTGCATACACAGACATGCACCAGTCTGAACAGTTTGGTCCTTATCTTCCGTGTAACTTCAGTAAGGATTCAGAGAGGACAGATTAATCTGCTGAAATGCCTTGAAGGGCTTTCTAAAGATAAAGTTGTTCCAGAACTTTTAAAGTCATCTGATAATGGGAGTTTTTGGTTTTATACTATTGTCTGTTCCTATCCCTGATTTAAAAATAGCAGTGGGCCCAGCTGAGGTTGGCCACAGGTCTGTATTGGAGCTGTCTGGGGCTGGCTGTGTCCGTCTCTTCACAGCAGCTACTGCAAACTTGCCCTGCTACCAAAATTTAGCCATCTAAACCCATTATGCTATTTTATTGTTCAAGGGAAGTTTTTCTCACTCTTAAGAAAAATATAGACTGTGTTCTATCTTTGCTTCATGTAAGGGATGTGGGTCTCAGATTCAGTCAAAGAGAGAAACGAGAGTTTCTAGCCAGGCAGAAGCCTGGGAAAGAGCTGGAGAAGAATGTAAATAATTCTTTATCTCTCTTGTTATTCACATTGTTTATAGTTAAGTTCTATCACTGTGCGTCAAGCACTCTGCACCAATGGTGTGGATTGTTTTCACTTCAGGACCAGTGGAATTGTTCCTCACAGAGCTCTGTCTAAAAGAACGGTGTATTTTGAATAAACCAGAGTTTTACTCTCAGCAGCCTTCTGAGTCAGTCTTGCCTTGACAGCGACAAAGGAATATTTACAAAATTAATTGTGTTTTTAAAAATGTCTTTCAAAACACTGATACATCTTAGTGGTAGGGAGTGACATTCCTCTACACTGAGGCACACTAGGAAGTATTTCAGCTGCTTCGTATGCCTGTAGCACCAGGAAGTTTTCAGAAAGTGAAAAGTAACACTGTGGCCTTCTGCATGAAAGCTACATGACTTTATGGGAGGAATATTAAAGGAGTTTTGTATATAAACATAGCGGAATTTTCAGTATTTTGAAGATGAGCATGAGAGTGTGGACTTAGTACGATACAGCACAGATTTCTAAATACCAGTTAATTTTGTTTATTTATAAAGTGTTTGGCAGTATATGGAGTACTTAAAATTCAGGAAAGCTTGTTGGAGAAATAAAATGTGTGTTTTATTCAAGTCCTTCCTCAGAAAGAATATGGCTCTGCTTAATTTGCTAGGCTTTGACTAATTAATTACTGATCTTTTTTCTTTTGAGTATTTGAGGACTATTCTTGAAACATCTTTGTGTTTACTTTTTTCCCAGCGTCATTTCCTGAAGCTCCTGCAGATGGCTCTGCTCAACCACATGTGTCTTGGGCATGTGTACTTTCGCAGTCCCCAAAGAAAATTGTTTCATCACCAGCATCTGAAGGTCTTTCCAGAGGCAAAGGGAAGCAGGAGAGTGAACCAAAAGTACTTGAGAATTCTCTGCTCTCAACTAATGCCTCTCCCTGTGTTTGTGTTTCTTTATTGCCATTTTTTCCCTGGGCTCTGTGCAGTATCCACTTTTAAAAGGAGATGATATGAAAGCAGCTTGTTCTTACTAGAATTTTTCTTGTCAGGGAAAAGAATCACAGGATATCAAAAAGACAGTGCTAGACTAGGAATAAGAACTTTCAGCTTTGAGGCTGAATTTCTTTTTCAAATTTCTGACCCTCAGAATAAGACATGAAACATGGAACTCTTGCCTTATTTGGCTTAATATTTCCTAATTAAATCCCAGTAGTTCCGATACATTCTGATAACAATGCAGTAGGCTGCAACTGTAGAATTCTTGCTGTAGCTATGGATTTCTAAGAGATACTGAATTTTCCTTGTCTGCTTAATGACCCAGCCTGAATTGATTAAGACGTCCTTGAGTAGTGTAAGACTAGTCATTGCATATATTTTGGTAGGTGATACTGAAAAGGGTTTTAAAGGTCATGCCTCATGGTCTTTTGCAGCAATCAGAAACAAAAAATATTGCAAGTGAAACTGAGCCTGAAGAAGGGTCAGAAAAAAAGAAAAAAAAGAAGAAAAAGAAGAAAAAACTGAAGTCGCCCACTGATGTAGAAAGACCTCAAAGTGAATCTAACACAATACAGGAACCACCGAAGATTGAGGTAAACTGAATAAGTTTTTGTTGCTGTTCTTTTAAGTGTTATGCATGTACTAGAAGACTAAATGTTAACATAGCTTTGTACAAATTTAAATTCAAATCCTATTTGTAGGGGATGTTGGTACAGTTTTTTTTTCAATTGAGATGTTTGTCAGAGGTTACTGGTAGGAAACTGTTGTAGTTTTTAAATTACTACACGTTTGGTGAGCACAATTTCCTAAATTAGAAATATTCTGTAGCAGCTATTGCTTGGGGTGTGGGGACTATAATAATATACTGGGTGCTACAGGGTACCATGGTTTTAATGATTGTGGTACAGTATAACAATTCTAGTTGTCTCACAGCTGGAAGCAATTTCTGTGTAACATGGCTGACAGTGTTTACATTTCTGATTTTTAATTTCAGTTTCCTTCCAAATTCATGTAACTGTAATAGGTATATTAGTATTTTGATACTGTTATGTATCAGTATTGCAAAGGCATGAGCCTCTCCCACATTAGAGGAGTGTTGCAGGTGTGTGATTGAACAGTGCTTCATTGTAGGCCTAATATTGTACAGCATGTGCATGTGTTGGTTTACGTGTTTGATTTGGTGTAATAATACTCTGAAATGACAGCATAAAGAAGCCTTCCTGGCTGGCTTCTGTTCTGTACATTTCAATGTGGAACATGAAGCAGAGCTATGTCTATGTGGTTTTACTGTGTGGTTGCTTGTCTAGGAATGGCACAAGAAATGAGTATTAACAGACCTCTTTGTTAAAGGAAATGGGTAAAACCAAAGCTGTGCTAGTTCTTTCTTCAGGAGAATATCCCCATTTTTGCTATATGCTACCATAAACACTGTATGCTATGAATGGGCATTCTAAATTGAAAGAGGATGGCAGAAGTTATGGAAAATAGCAGGATGGTACTGGGACTGTTGAAGTCAAAATTGGAAAGAAATTGCATAGAACCATGGAGCAAGACACACATGTTGCACTGCAATTTGTGATGTGGATGCAGCATCTGTTGTGGCAGTGGAGGAAAGCTTTCTGATCCTCCTGGTTTGCTGGGAATTCTTGTGTCCTCAGCAGTTTGAAAAATGGGTGAGATGCTTGTATGATGCTCTTGAAATAATAAACCATGCAGAGATGACACACTTGGAGCTTCTGGGCACCCAGGAGGTTTAAGAAGGTTCTGTTTATGTGCAGCAGCTCAACAGAGCCATATATTGGATTGCTCTCTAGTTTTATATAGGTCAGTCATTTATAGACATGGCTAATAAGCGTAAGTGGATACATCTGGAGAAACCAATCCTGTCATTTCATACACACTGGCAGGTCCTGACCTCGATATCTTCCTTGAGTTAATATTGAAGGTGCTGTTGATAATCAGGTCAGTGCTACTAGTATTGGTCAGACATGTAAACGGTGCTAGGAAAATAAAAAGGGAAATTGATTATGACAATACAGAATTTCAGGGCATATCTGATCTAAATACAGTGTGGATTTTGTTTTCTTATATTCCTCCCATTCCTTAAAAAAATACACATATTTGAACTAAAAAAGATGGACAAAAGGCTCCAAAAATAATCAAAGATGTGAAGCAATTTCTGTGGGAGGCAAGACTGAACAAAATTAGGACTTCTCAGTATATACAAGAGATGGCTAAATGGCAATATAGCAGTTGCAAGAAAGTAAAAACGAAGTTGACCTTTCTCCTAGTGTTTGATGTTCTTACAGATGGTAAGAACAAATACAGGGAGGTGTAACCTCTCACTGAGTGCTACATTTTAATTATTTAGTTTGCTACAGGATGTTGCATATGTCAGAAATCTATTTGCATTTCAGAAGCAATTGGACAGACATCATCGTCTAAGCTGAAAAGAGTGTATTTGTGAAATATGTTTTCACTTCCTTTCAGTTGCTTTTTGGCTTACTTGCAAGCTTCTTCAAAAGTTCATTGGTTGAAGTGTGTCACTCCCTGTGCTAGAGCTTGGGGTGTTTAAATAAAGCCTTTCAGTCTGGAACAGGTCTTGGTGTGTTCAGTGGTACTGTATCACAGCTAAAAAGGCCTCTCAGAAAGTGGGAGGAGAAGCAAAAACCTAGCTGATGGATTGAGATCATTATGATGGAGGCAGTGGGTATAGGGTGGTGAGTATAGGCCAAACTTCAGCCTGTCAGCTCTTGATAATCCAGATTCTGCACAACGGATCCTCTGCTAATAAAACTTCCTCTTGTGTGTAAGCCATGATCATTTGAGTAATTATTTGTTTATTTCTGTACTACAGTACATACTGCCTGTTCTGTTCTTCACCACTCACATGTTAAGGACAGAATTGCACAGCTGGAGACTGTACTGGAAGAAGGGGGAAGTTGTTTGCAAGGCTTTTAAATTATTTGAAAAACATTCCTTTAGAAGCTGTTTACCTCTAAGGATTTCTATCAACTGACAACCATAACAAGCTGCTTTTGGAAGCATTTCTGTTACAAGCTGTTTCAGCCCTGAATCAGCTGCTGCATGGAAGATTTAACCATTGTTGTACTTGTCATAGCTGGTTGCACTACCCTTGCCTTCTGAATTTTTGTACAGTGGAACAAATTATGATAAATGTTTGATAAGCGGGGAGAAAATTGTTGGAGTGTGGGAAAAGTTTTGAAAATACAGACTTGATTATTCTTATGAAATCAACATCTGGGTTATTTGTTTAGGATGTTGAGGAGTTTCCTCATCTGGCAGCTGCTTCTGATAAGAGAAACAGGGTAGGACCTCAGAAACCAGCCTTTACTTCTGCAGTCAGAAAGCAGTCTGAAGTAAGTAATCTTGCGACATTATGTGACTCAAGTATCAATTATGAATCCAAGTTGTTTGGTTTTTTTGAGTTTTTTTTACATGAGCGAAATAAATCTCAGGAATTAATTAGGAGCTGCATTCAGTATGTGGATGAATCCTAAGCATAAATGGCAAGGATTGAAAATGTGATTGTTCTGTCAAAGCAAGTAGTGTAAACAATAATGGTAAAATCCCAGGTTTCAGTTGCTTTGAAATGAATTTTGCTACTAAAAATTTTGGTCCTTGGCTTTATTTCCCTATGAATTTTAATGGTTTAAAAAAACCTCCAAACACAAGCAAACAAAACCCTTGTTTGCTTTGTTTGAGGCAGTAAATAGCTTGGACAAGGAGGAGTGAGTAGCAAAAGGCACAGCAGTTGCTTAAAAAAGATTTATTACGAAGAAAGGTGCTGTACGCACATGAAACTCAGATGAAAGAGACCCCTTAGCTTTGTAGACGTAAGTGGGATATAACCCCTCAAAGCTTACATAAACTTTAGAGACATGATTCCTGTGCCTATAATAAATATTTGAAAATGAAGCTGCCTTGCTATTTTTTTCTTCCAAATCCGAAAATAAAATCCCCATGAATGTGATTAAGTGGTATGGCAGCCAATGAATGGTCACCCTTCTAGAAGGCCACGTATGCTCTTCCCAGAGCCTTCTCTTTTCCAGGCTGAACAACCTCAACTTTCTCCACCTTTTATCATAAGAGAGGTAATCCAGTCTTTTGGTCATTTCTGTGGCCCTCCTCTGGCCCTGCTGTAACGTGTCCATGTCTTTCTTGTGCTGGGGATCCCAAAACTGGACACAGTACTCCAGGCAGGGGCACACAAGAGCAGAGTAGAGGGAGATGATTACTTCTCTCACTTCTTTATACATACCTCAGGACATTTTGGCTTTCTGGGCTGGGAGTGCCCATGACTGGGTCATGTCCAGCCTCTCACCCACAGCACCCCCAAGTCCTTCTGGGCACATCCCTCAATACTGTAAAGAATGCCATCCATCATTCTGGTTGGCATCCCTTCCCTGAAGGACTTCCCTGGAGCCTACTTGGCTTGGTGTCATTCACAGACTTGCTGACGGTGCACGTGGTTTGAGTTTAATATCATCTTAACCCTTTCCCATGTGTCCTCGTTCTATATATTTTGTCTTCCTCCTTGTCACCTTCTATCTTTAAATTCCTAAGAGCCATCTCTCTGAAGAGCCTTGTGATAGTCGGTCTCCCTCTCTGGATGAAACTCCCAAGGTGGATGGACAGTCAGGGAAACAAGCTTCATCTTCTGTATTGGAAAGAAAGAAAACTCAGGTAAGTGAATTCATGTTGAAGAGAAGTTCACAACTCAAAATAGGCAAAGGAAATGAGCCTATTTAGATATAAGACTAAGTCCATGCTCATCTGAGATTCTGCATTCATACTTTGAGGTAAGTGACATGGTCACTCTTCTAATCTCTAATTAGAAGCAATCACTGGTAATAATTGCCAACCTCCAGGGTTTGATAAGGAAAAGTACAGATTTTGCATTAATATCTGTGGGTTTCAGCTATCAGGAATTTTTCTTTCACCTGTTTTACTTAATCATGGCATAAATCCAGTCCATACTGATTGCTCTAAGGAACTGGGAACCTCCTAGAAGTAGTTCGGACTACTTCCCTGTAGTTCCCCCTGTCTTGGGGCAAGGAGGAGAAATATGGAGCACCAGGTGAGGTCAGGAAGGATTTTCGTGTTGGTGAGTAGGTTCTGGCACAGCTCTGATGCAAGGTGAGATCCCAGCTGAGGACTGAGGAGGTCATGTTCTGTAACCCTCTTGTAACAGAAATTACAATCAATTGATTGACTTCTAAAAGAGCCAAACAAGACTTCTAAAAGTGCCAAATCTGGCAGTCATGTTTTGCTCTGTAGTTTGTTCACAGTCTTCACCACACTATTCATTTTTAGTCTTTTTATGTTCTGCTTTATGAAATATGGATCATGGCTTTTGCCTTCTCTTCAAAGCAGAGAAAAAGATGAGTGCTTATGAGGAGCTGGTGCAAAGATGATGACCTTTCTTTTTAGTGAGACATTGGAGATAATGATTTTTATGTGTTGCAGTCACATACTCTGGAAGAATCACAGTAGTTTTTCTATAATTTTAAGAAAATTTTAAATTTTGATGAGCCTTTTATTTCTTTCAAAGGTATATGACAGTCTGACCAAAGTGGGGCCCTGACATAAAGGCCTTCCTTTATTGAAGACTTTATACTTTATACTTTGTTGCAGTAGCAGGTTTTAAAGTTACCTGAACTATTCTGATTTTTTAATATTTTTTTGACAGTAAAGTTGATGTTTATTTGAAGGTCACTGAGTGACATCAAAGATCAGTAGTATTGTGGATAAAGATGTTAAAAGAGTGTATTATACCATAAAAAGTAATGTTCTTTACAGTCTGAAGTGGAGGGCGTTACTAACTGGTACTGAACTTTTTCAGGAAACATCCAGGAGCAGTGGTAAGAAGAGTCAAATTCCAGTGCAGTTGGATTTGGGTGGCATGCTTGCAGTCTTGGAGCAGAAGCAGCAAACAGAGAAGTCAAAACAGTCTCCTAAACCTGTGGTATTTTCAGGTATTGGTTACTATGAAATTTCCTTTCTTTCAACTTAAGCTGTTTTTAAGTATTCAGACATTAAATGTAGTCTGATTTCTGATATGTGATGATCTCTATGCAGGCAAGAGCACAGTTCACCAGATACAAGAGAACATTAAGGTTCTTTAAAAAGAAATTTAAAAAGCATGGCAGTCTGAATTGTTTGATGGAAGACTTACGGAAAGAAACACAGCTTTGTGAAAGAATGCCTTACATAAATACGAGGCACGATTGAAATGTTGCTTTGGCAGAAATACCAATGTTTGTGGAGGTTTTTGCTCTCCCCTATGTAATTGTGTTATTGTTCTGATCTAAACAGGCAGGAAGGAGCTACACAGTAACAAAGGCTTTCTTAAATCTCCTCTGATGCTAGAAATCATGGAGCTGAGGCTTGATTGAAAAAGCTTCTTTGCAAGCACAGAGGTTTTACAAGAGTCAGGCAGCACAAGCCAAAGGATGAGTTCTGACATACATCTTAATTGTGAAATAATTGATGTTAACAAAATGCTAGGTTTTGTTAATGCAGAGGATCTTTCAGTTCTTCATGATGGAAGCAGGAGAAAATAGCCGTTGTCTTTCTCATTATAGGTCAAAATTTAATCTTGATTATGCTGGTGTATATTTTGCAAAAGGAACCATTATATTTGGTAGCATTCAATGATAGTAAAATTTTTCTTATTTCAGCAAAGGTTTTTTTAGTAATTATTTCAGAAAGAGATCTAATCACAAGAGATTTCATCTCACAATACGTAATGTGATAGCTGAGATTTTAAATATAAAGCTCAAATGCTTAGCATTGGTGAGATTTTCCTTCACTAAGCTGACAGAACTTATGAGATGCTTTTTTAAAATACTTTCTTTTTTTCAGTTGATCTCCTTTTATTTTCATTTGGGTCAATCAGACTTAATGCTGCAGAGATGCTAATAACCAGTTTTGTTTCTATAAAACTATACAGTGTGTGGATTGATGAGTAGATGGTGGGCCACAAAGGTATGGGTCAAAATAGCCATTTTCTAATACTAAGCTTCCTGTGCCTGAATCTACTGCAGAAGAGAAATAGATGTGTCATGTTTGTATCCTGGGAGCATAAGGCTGATGTTACTTTAGCTTTGTACTGTTTTAATGTTTAGTACACCATTGATTTGGTGTGTACCAAAGTACAACTTCAGTTTGCAAAGTAGCATCATTCTGACCTCTGCTACCAAGAAGAGGACAGTGAACAGGAATGGAAAGGAGTATGTCCACAGACAGTTGTTTTTATTCCAGTTACTACTTCACATGATAGGTAATACTGGTAAAGTCATCAAGTTTAGGAACATGAAAACTGTGAACTTGAAATGATCATGTACACATTAAGGAGATATGTGTCTGTGGGATGTATGATTATTTATTGCTGCAAATCCAGCTTCCATTTCTGTAGCCACCTATGCTGCACATTTTTGGCAGTGTTCTCAGTTTGCCTTTGATACACAGAGCCGAAAAAAAAACATCAGTTTAGCAGCTCTATGGTGTAAACTGTTCATGGTAAGAGTACTGCATGTGATGAGGGAGGATCTGCATATAAATACTGTGGAAGCAGTAAATGAAGATGGCTTAAGACAAGCTGCCAGAATATTTTTGTGTGTTCAGGGGAGAGAGGTTGCCTGAGTCACAGAGGGAAGTGTCAAGCTGGTTCTACTGATACTTACTTAGTCATCCTCTCCATTGACTTGCTAATGTGAACTGCTTTATATTGCAGGTAACTAAGTTTGACAAAGTGCTCTACAGGATACAGCAGTTCTTACTGATAGTGAGGAAGAGTAGTTTATTTGGTATGAGGTCATGGTGTGGAAGATCCAGGTTTAGCCATTTATCCAGTCATTTAAAGCTTCTGTGCTCTAAACCCTCTGAAAAAATGCAAGTAAAGTGGACATCTTCAGCGAGCTTTGCAGGTTAAGCAAAAGAGACTTAGCTGTAGCTTTGCATTACTCATGACCCATTTGCAAGTGAATTTCATCTAGGTTCCTTAAGGTGTAACAAAAGGTAGGCATAAATGCTTAAGTTTATTTACAGCAAGTAAATCTAAAATCTGTACTACTGCTACTCAGTATTTATCTTAACCCAGTATGGAATCAATGGAGGAGGAAGTGTCCCATCATGAAACACAGAAATTCTTGGAGGTTTACCAAGATGGTATGGCAAGATGTTGAAGGTAGCTTGGACTGCAGTGTTTGGTCAAATTCTGCTTTTGAGACAGAGATTGTGATTCCAGGGGTATAACAGAAGTAGGGGACACAGCAGTCTTTTGTAAGGAGTATCTTTTCAAAATAACAGTTTGATGATACAGGATTGCCTGTAAATATTCTTAATAGCAACACAATTTTAATATGTGTATACCAGTCTTAAACTTGAAATTGGATTCTAATTCAGGTATTCATTTTAGTTGTCTGATGCAAATTTCTTCTTAAATCTCAGTTGGTGGTGCTGTTCCGCTGCTATCTAAAGACCCTGCTACTGCCACGAGAAGTCACCGTTTAAACCAAGGAAAGATGCCTCACAATCCCTTGGATTCCAGCGCTCCTTTGGTAAAGAAAGGGAAACAGAGAGAAGTACCTAAAGCAAAGAGACCAACACCTCTCAAAAAGGTCCTTTTTTTTTAATCTTAAATAGTAAAACTATAGGATAATATATTACTCTAGGAGTCTGTTAAGCCCTCTCATACAGACATCTGCATCTCAGTGTCCACTTGCCTGAATGCAGTTTTAGCTTTGCTTGGTTTCAAAGAGGGGAGGGGTAGAAAAGGGTAGTCTTGCTAAATGGCATATATAAATTCCAAAAAATACACTTTCTCCCTTGAATTAATTGATAGATTATGAAGTGCCACTACAGAAGTGTCCACACATCATTGATACAGGAAAACATGCAAAGAAATATTATTTGGTGTGGCAAAGTTGACCTTATTTGGTGGACTGGGGAGAATGGATCAAACAGAGGTGATATTTAATGTTTCTGTGTTCTTCCAAGCCAGAACTCTAGTGATTCTGCAGCAACAGGTGTTAGGTCCAACTGGTGATGTCTGTTGTGTCTTTCCTCTTTGCCTGTTCATTTCGCTTCCTGTCACATCTTCTACACAAGGGCTTTTTTAACTTTAGTTCTCTCCTTGTAGTTTATCCCTAGTAATTTTTTTTTTCTGCCTATATACTGCTAATCAAGGTAAAAGTCTTTTCCTATGTAAATTTAGGAATTATCTTTCCTTGTTTTTGTGTGCAAATAGAAAGAAAAGGTTGTAAACTTCAGATACTAGTGCTGAACCTCTTTATAAATGTTTTTTGTGTAAATATGTGGTATGCTTTGTTATCTGCATGACATCAAGTTGGTTTGGTTTTGATACATATTTTAGATTATTCTGAAAGAAAGAGAACAAAGAAAACAGCAGCACCTGTTAGAACAGAAAGCAGCACCGAAAGATGAAGATAACATTTGTCAGACAGAAGGAAATGTTACTGAGAATGCAACACTTCTACAGGATAGTCAAGCAGGTATCTTTTGAGGGAACCTGTAATACAGTATGTAGCTGGAAATTTGAGCACATTTAGTACTTTATAAACAGGTACTAAATACTGCCAAATGAAGGCTGCAACCTCCAAGTTTTCTGAGATTGACCTCAGGCTTATCTTGACTGTAAAGTGGGCCAAAACTGGAAGTCAGTAATAAGGATTCTGATTACTGTTCCACACTTCTGTGCCTGTTGGTTTTCTGGTATCTTGTAAGGAGAGTGCCCGCCTACCTTTGGCAATTAATGAGGTTTGAAATGAGAAAAAAAACCCTATGAAATTAAGGAAAAAAGTTATACCTGTTTCCCTACTACCATAGACTGTTCTAATCCTAAGGCAGAGACTCTTCCATACATGCTTGACAGATTAATCTCTTCACAAGGCATTTGGGCTGTCTTTTCAGTGAAAGTATCTTGATTTACACAATAGCTGTTCCAGTAACACAAGTTGCTGAAGGGTTTCCAGAGCACACGGGGAACAAGGAATCTAAAGAAGGTTCTGTGACTACAAAGCAGCTAACTGCCACTCTTCCAAAAATCCACAGCAGGAATTTTAGAGAGTAAGTAATGATTGTATTGATGGCTCGTTTTGCACAGTACCACCAAAGTGGCATTTTTCAAACAAAGTAATGCAGTTGCATTCTCTGCAAAACTAACTGGAATTTAGACTGAAGGCTCTAAATTTTTTTCTTTCAGTCTTTCTGTAAGCTGACACACAAAGAAATTATAAACTTAGTGTGTTTTGTGATTCTCACTTGAAAAGGCATGTTCCTTGAAGAAAAAAAAAAAACCAACGAAATTCTCTAGAGGCTAAGGAAAGAAAAGAGCTGCTGTTAAAATATAAGTACTTTATATTAAATAATGAGGCAACAGCTCAACTGTTACCTGTGCTACTTTATTTCTTAAATAGTATTTTTAATTGTAGTTCGATTTTCTACTGCCAGACCAAAAGGCAAAAATGTAAAGAAACTAGATGACATTTTATGTTGTAGCTGGCAAAAAAATAAAGGCAATACTTAGGAGTATTGTGTACAGTTTCAGCTAAATGTTTAAGATTATGTGTGTACATGTTTCTTTAGAAGAAAGAAATAGTCATTATAGTCATGTGAAGTCACAATAGTTAAAACAGTCATGTGAAGAGGTCAGAGATCCATTCACGAAAGCTTGAAACGGTTTCTTGAGGAAAGCAGTGTCTTAACTTTTAGTTCCCCTCCCATGAAGCAAATCCACCACTGGTGGTTTTTCTGCAGTTCATGTCATAGTAATGGTTAATAGTGATACAAGCATTCCTGCTATGTTAATTCTTAATTTTTAATTGCAATAGAAATTGATTAATTTGTGTCTATGTAACAGTGTTTTACTGAGAGCACAGTTTAGGTTGAATATGTGAAGGACAACTCAGTTTGCAGGATGTAGAGCATTCAGCAAAGCTTAGATTATTTTCTTTAAGTCAGGTTTTTTTAGTGTTCCAGTAGATCTGTCTTCAAGACTTAGTGAAACTGGTAGGAAATAGTAAGTAAAAATTTTTGTAACCTAAATAAAATTCGGAAATAATTGTATCTCTAAGATTGAGGATAGATGTTGTGATCTCTTTATCTTATGTGAATTTGCCACTGGCAATTCTTTTTGTTTACAATGCAGTTGATACATCTCTAGTTTTGCTTTTTCATATCTGTCTTCACTGGAAAATTCTTTATGTAAAAGTGGGTGGGGTGAAATAATTTTTAACTCTTATCTTTCCCAGAGTGCCCTGGGAGGGTGAATTACATAGTTTTGTACCCTTTCCTTACGAACATCACAAATCCATAGTCAGATAAGTAGAAAAGGATGACAGACATGAATGTAGAGAGGAGGAATGTGATCCAGTTTTCCATCTTTGGTACACATAGCCTTGAATTTACCGAAATAAGTTAGATTTTTGTACTTTGGTGCTGTACTTTAATTTATATATGTCAAAATAAATATCCATAAATATATGCACATACCTAGTTCTTGAAATAAATATATATATATCTATATATAGATAGATTAGGTTTATTGTACATGTATATATGTATTTTAATATGGTTTGATTAGGAAGCCAGGTAACAACATAAAGAACAAAATTTCTTCCTCTCAAATTTTCAGACACTAAAAATAAGTAAATTTTTGGTTTTGTGTATATGACAAGTGTGTTTGGAGTGGAAACAGAAAAAAATACAAAGACATAGAATAGAATCTTAAATGTATATTTAATGTATTACATATTTAAATGTTACATATTTGTAATTTTAGTGAGTCTAACTATTTTGCTCCTTTCTTCCAGTTACTGCAGCCAGGTACTTAGTAAAGAAGTTGACAGTTGTGTGACAGATCTCTTAAAAGAACTGGTTCGTTTCCAAGATCGTTTGTATCAGAAAGACCCAGTAAAAGCCAAGATAAAACGCAGGCTTGTTATGGGTCTTAGAGAAGTTCTGAAACATCTGAAGCTGAAAAAACTGAAGTGTGTCATCATATCTCCTAACTGTGAAAAGATTCAGTCAAAGGGTAAATAAGTTCTTAATAAAAAAAAAGTCTCTTTAATAAAAAAAAAAAAAAAAAGAAAACGCAAAAAAGAATGTTCAGTATATTAACAGCAATATTATTATTATTATTGGAGGAATTTATTTGAGTATCCTTTGAAATCCAGCCATATGAAGTTGCCTTCCTTGCTCTGATTCTTTACTGCTGTGCAGCTGAACTGTGAGCTGAGTCAAGACTGTCTGGGGTGGGAGAAGTTACCTGAGATTTGGGTCTCTCTAATTACTGATTTGCTGTGCTGCTGCACAAAACTTGCACTGCACAGCTGAGACAATCCAAAGGCTGCTGATGCCAGCTCTGCTATCACATTGTCCCACTGTATCAATCTTCTAGAACGCAGACTGACAATAAATCACTAGTGATAGTTTCCTAAAAATTGTCATTATTGGCATTAATTTATCGTAATTGTTGTAATTATTGTCATTTAAATAATTCCGTAGCATCTGGGTCTTTTTTGATACTACATTAGACTGTACTACATATATAATAAAATATGGAACAGAAGCAGTCTAAAATTAATGCTAACTAAGAATTAAGAAAAAAATGTCAAGTTGTCCTTTAAAAATGTATATTCAACACTACTTGTGGTCTGTTTTTTTCCTATAAGGTATAGTTTCGGAATGCACTCATAATCTTGGGGTATTTTTTGCCATTTGTTAACAGTATGATTCTTTAGCTCCAGTCAGCCTGATTGTGTTGTGTGCTGCAGGTGGGCTGGACGAGACCCTACACAACATCATCGACTGTGCCTGTGAGCAGAACATCCCGTTCGTTTTTGCCCTCAATCGCAAGGCCCTGGGCCGCTGCGTGAACAAAGCCGTGCCTGTGAGCGTGGTGGGGATTTTCAGTTATGATGGGGCTCAGGTAAGCTGAAATAAGTCACTTCATGTGTTTTTATTCAAAAGGCTTCACTTTTTACTTGCAAGAGAAGATGAAAATACTGTGATTTTTAAGGGTTTTTTTGTTTGTTTTGCTTTTGCAGACTTACACTCTTCATCACAGGTCATACACATTGCTTATATGAAAACTGATTTTAGAAGTACAGGCAGTCAGCACTGTTAAAAAATTACTCTTGCTGTCTTTTTCTGACATCCTCTTCATCTTTATCTCGTCCCCTGATGATTTTTTTCAAGAGAACTGCTGTTTTTATAAATGCTGTGTCTTTCATGCCTTCATACATACAAAGCTGCTCAGCTTTTATACATGAACCTACATATTCTGAATAAGGAATACTCATTAGATTTTCATGGAGATGTTAAAACTTAGTGCATGATTTAAACTCTCGTATTTTATATTGCCATAGGACCATTTTCATAGAATGGTACAGCTGACAACAGAGGCAAGGAAGGCCTACAAAGATATGATAGCAGCTTTAGAGGAAGAAGCTAAAGCAGGACAACGAGAAACCCAACCCAGCATCTTAACTCCTGAAACTGAAAAAAATGGCTTGTTAGAAACTTGTAAAACATCTTCCAAGGACTCAGATGAGGATGTACCAAATTACAGTAAGTATTTGCTGACTTGGATTTTGTTCCATTTTTATTTACAGTGCTCATCAGTTCTGTGATTTTCACTGAAACAAATGACATCTGCTGTAGTCGTTAGTAAGGAGGGAAAGTGGGGGCAAATTCTTGGGGTCTTTTATAAATCCAAAGTCAGTTTTTACTGAGAAAGTATTAAAGAAGTTCCTCCCTGAAATCCACAAATGGCAGGCAGTACTCATTACTTTGCTCGAGGAGGCTTAATAGAGCTCCTAATTATATTTCTATTTTTATATTTCTATATTTCTATTTAAATAAAAATCCTTTTAAGATTGATTGTGGATGTCCATACTCTATGACTATGGTAGATAGAAGCCTATTTGAGATGCATGTTCCTGACCACAAGTACTCGTTTGTAGAAACATTTTCCTCCAGCTCTGTTCTTAAGTCAACAGACAGTGCAATGTATTATACATAGAAAGTTTTGAACACTTACTGCTTTTTTTAAAGTTGGAAGCACCTTCAGGGTTAAGTAGAGTTTGGACACAAGGAGCTCAGTGGACCCCATCACTCTTAAGTTATTCTTTTGTGTGTCATCTGATGTTGCATAGTGTAAATGCCAGCATGCCTGTGTGTCAGCTGATCTCAGCACTTATTTTGAAATTGAAGTAAAAAATTAGGGTTGACTTTTCATTTTAAGTTTTTCCTCAAGTATTAAATGGTAACATATTGGTTGTTGTTTTTTCTTTGTTTTTGTTTTTTTTCCCTCCCAATGTTCCCTAGTTAAAGTCTGGAAGAGAAAACTTGAAGAAGAATATAACCCATATGCACTGGAATTGGAAAAGAGTGCAACTGCTGACATGGCAATACTGAATTTGGAAGACCAAGAGTAAATCCAGATCCAGCTCTATTGGGCTTTTAATTTTTTTCTGTTATATCCTTAGGAAGAAGGTAGCAAAAATAACATAATCTAAACAAATACCTGAAGTTAGCTAAGCAAACTGTTTTGAATCCCTTTAAACAAAAAACACACTGGAACACATGAGGCACTGGTAAGTGTCTCTGTATTTTATGTATTTCTCTGATTACTATAGCAGATGACAACACCAAATTGTTGTAGCCCCAAACCACTTGAACTGGCTTGGCATACTTTAATGATTTTATGGACTAGCATTGATTTCTTGGGGTAGAATGTATCAAAAGAATCTGATAGAGAAAAATAATTTTCTTCTGGAAGAGATTCCTTGAGCCAGAAGGTGCTAAAGGAGAGTTGCCCTTAAGTTTTAATTCCTGTATAAAAAACTTGAGCTGTTGTTTGATTGTGGGTTTGTTCTTAATTTTTCTTCTACATAAGCCTGCTCAGAAGGGCAGGCTGCTATGTCACTTTATTATAGTCAGCAACAAATTAATTTGAGGCAGGTAGCTTGATTTAAACTAATTAAGGAAGGCCATGATGGCAAAGTTCCTAGTTAGCTCTTCTGTGTTGTTCATTGGGGATCATACATCAGATATGAAGGAGATAGCACAGACTACAGGGGTCTGAAATTCCTGAAGTGAATGTGCTCTGTTTAGACTTTTTATAAATTTGATGTTTCTGTTGCTACTGAGAGTAGTTTATCATACATCCTGCTTTGAAGTTAAAGGATATTGCAGGACAGAAAATGTGCTAGCCTGCTTATCTGTACCACCTCCTTACTGAGACTCCTCATTCCTTCCTTCCATTTGGGGTTGTGTTGGTATATAAATCTATGAGTTTTTCAGCAATCCCAGTTTGTATCTAAATAGAAAAAAAAAATTATATCTTACAAGAAATGAAGTTTGTATTCTAGTGGAAATAAAATTTTAAAACCAAAATGTGCTTATGGTAGTGGTGGAACACCTTAGTAGGAATGATCTGTATACACTGTTTTTTGAGGACAAGCCTAAAGAAAGTAACTGGAGGGATGCACATACAACTTGTGTCAGCTTTTCTGAAAGGTGGTACAGATGCCACATGCTGCTCAGCATCTCTGAGGTGTTTCTGAAAGTGCTTCACCATACTCAACATTTGTAGTGCAATACTTTGGAAAGTAGCTGCCTTGTGATGATAGAAGTGGTATAAAAAAATTCAAATAATTTTGAAATGCAAACAGTTTTTTGTAGACTATAAATTGTATAAAATCTGTTACAATATACTGATTCTATAAAGAATGCTTATGACTTAAGTAAGCTCATCTTGTGGGAATTTAGTGATACTTGAAATGCCACTTTTGGGAAAGAACATTGACAAGGGGAGCCAGCCTTATGCTGAAATGCACTGTTATGATGATGATGATCTTTTTTGTATTAGTTCCTTCTAATCTTAAATGGAAACTGGGGGTGAAAGGTAGGTCCCAGTGACAAAACATGCTTTTGGCCAGCATACATACCCTTGATGCAAAGGTAAGTTGTGATTTATTCATTTGTACCTGTGGCACTTGGGTACACATCTAAAATTCTGGAACAGTCATTGCATGGAATCAAGACCAGCTGGTAAAGAAGTTTGGGTTTTGACCATGTTTTCTATTTTGTATTACTGTAGAAGAGCATAAAACTTCAGAGGTTGTTCACAATCTTAGGGATTTATTTCTAGTTCTTAGAGAATATAAAAAAAATTACAATAAGGTGTCACATCCATGGTTACTAATGCTGGTACACAGATTTTCCTTTTTTTTTTTCCTCCCCATAAAATTGAACTAAACAAATATTTGGCAACTTTTTACTATTTGCAGTAATTTCCTGTAGAAACAAAGCAAAGCTTAGCTACCTCATCCATAACCTTGACCCCTTTCTTACTTTACATTCCCACTCAACTCCACAGAACTAAACTTCGGAGCACATAACTAAGTGTGCTCCAAATCAGTTGAACAAATGGAGGAGAAACAATTATAGTTATAGTTACAGTTATAGTTGTCCTGAGAAGAAAAAAATTATGAGAGCAAATGAGAAAAAATTATCTCTGGTGGTGTCAGAAGTTAGCATCAGCATTAATGAAATGCCTATGTGAAAAACAGGGGAAATGGTTAAGAAAAGTAGGAAAAAAATGAGTTTTCACTCTGCATGTGTGACAAGATGATCTGATACTGAAAAAAAAGGATCATTCAAGTCTTAGTATTCAAGTCTTAGAGAAGAGTGCTCTTTTTAATGTCAGAAACACTCTAATTTAAATCTTAGCAGTTAGGAGAGCATCTTACTTGCTTCTAGATTGTTGAAATCTATTAAGCAGATAATAGAGAAAATTTAATTTATACATGAGACTTTTGTTTCTTAGATGCAGAAGGACAAAATTCTGAGCAGTAATGCAGTAGAGCACTTTTACTGTGGATAGTGTAGCTCCTCGTATTTTCAGGCTGATTATCACACTTGATCATCATAAGGAGTGGTCTTTGAATTCATTTAGCATAGAATTTTTAAGCTACATTATCTGAAATACAGAGAAGAATTTGCAAAAACTAAAGTCTTGCATACTTTGTAATCTATCTGTATTTTAAGCATTAGTCAGAACTTCTTTATTTGGTATAGGAACTTTATTACTGTCATGGTTTAAGCCCAGCAAGCACCACCCAGCCTCTCACAGTGGGAGAAAACTGGAAGGGTAAAATCCAGAAAACCATTGGTTGAGATGATGACAGCTGAATAGGAAAAGCAAAAGCCATGCACACAGGCAGAACGAAACAAATAATTGATTCAGTGCTTCCCATGGGCAGGCAGGTGTTCAGCAATCTCCAGGAGAGCAGGGCTCATCACACATAATGGTTACTTGGGAATACAAATGACAGCACTCCATACGTGCCCCCCTGCCTTTATATCCTGTGCATGATGCCGTGTTGGGAATATCCCTTTAGTCAGTTTCGGTCACCTGTCCTGGCTGTGTCTCTTCCCAACCTCCCATGCACTCCCAATGTCCTTGCCATCATGGCAGTGCAGAAAGCAGAAAAGGCCTTGGCTCTGTGCAAGCCCCACTCAGCAATAACAAAAACATCTCTCCATTATCAGCCTTATGTTCAGAACAAATCCAAAACAATCTCATACCAACCACTGTGAAGAAAATTAAGTAAAACCCAGCACAATAACCAAAAGAAATGTGTTTGAACAAATGAGCTTGCTGACACTAGAAAGGAATGCTCTTCAAAACACTGGCAACATAAGGGTAAACACAGTAAAAGCAAAATAACTACAAGTTGAAATGCCTTTAAATAAATGTGATCCACGTCCTGATTTCTAAATCTTATGCCAAGATCCTCAAGCCCAAAAATATCTGGTTGGTTTAATGAACTCAAAACAGAAAACATATTACATTATTTGAACAGTACAAATCTTGCTGAGACTACTTTTGTTCTTTATTAAGCTGAAATAGCTGACATCAGAAAACCAGAGATAGTTGCAGCATGGGATGGGTGGCCTCTCTTGTACCATGTAACTTAGCTTAGTTATTCTTTGGTGCAGTAAGAATATCCCCTTCCACTTCATGGTTGATATGATTCTCCTGAATATCAGTTTTAATTTCAGTACTAACACTTGCAAAGACATCTCCAAATGCTATAATAGTAACAGGTACTCTTAACTTGCATGTATTTCTCCTTCTAGCCTGTTAATTCCTTTGTCCATTAGAGGCTGTTTCTCTTGTTGCAGGTCTCCTGAAGAAAAATTTCAGAATGATGTGTTAATACCAATCTAAAAATGAAAATGGTGTTTAAGGTTGCCTATACTAACTGCTCCACAGGCAGCAAGCATATAATATCTAAGGTTTTCAAAAGTGATCTTTGTTCTGGCTGTTGGAGAAAAATATTAAGAGATGGCTATGGACTTCTTTAAAAAAAAAAACCCTCAGCTTTTATGGACAGTACCATTTACAAAGTCCAGTAGTCTCTGCAATCCAGTAATCCAGTTAGTCTACAGATGTGATGGAATTTATGTACTCCATTCACTATACACAGACTTACTGTTTTGGGCAGGAACACAACACCTGACTAATGAGCACTTGGTTAGTGGACTGAAGGAATAAGCTGACACAACTGCAAGGAATGTTGCACATAAGAACAGACTTCACAGCTGAGTGAGTGGGTCAGGAATGATGAATGTACAGGAACACTGATCATTTTGTTATATTAATACATGCATTTGCAGAAGTACAAGAAGCAGTCTATACAAGTCTTACCCATGTTTTCCTCCAGGTTTGCATCATCTTGTCATGTTCACTGATGGCATTTCTCCAGGTATCAAATTCTTTGGTCCATGCATCCTGACCAGAACTGTCTGAGAATGGAGATGGGATGATTACATAACCATATAATGTCAGAAGTCAGTACCTAATCAGATTCAGGACTGCCTGTCCTGCAGGAAGGGAGCTACAAGGAACCCCCATCCTACATTTTGCTCTACATCCTTTCATGTTATTTGTCAGTAAGTTTTTTTTGAAACGGTTATGTCTTTTAAACTGTGCAGCAAACTTAATAGCCTCCAACATAAACAGGTTTAGTGCCATTATCTGTGATTTGAGATAGAGAAGGTAGGATGGACAAATTAATAGTTCAAACCCATCTAACAAGCACAGGAATGCTCCAGGTAGATCAAAGCCTGGAGAGAAGAGTGACATGTTGGAAAGGACCATTTAACATGATGAACATGTCCAGTTAGTATTCCCCATTTTTCAGTTAATCGCAGGATCACAGAATCAATCAGGAACAGACCTGTGAGATTATCAAATCTAACCTATGATCCAACACTACCTTGTCAACCAAACCATGGCACCCAGTGCCACATCCAGTCTTCCCTTAAACACCTCCAGGGACAGTGACTCCACCACTTCCCTGGGCAGCCTATTCCAGTGTTTAATTATCCCTTCTGTGAAGAAATTCCTCCTAATATCCAACCTAAACCTCCTGTGGCATAGCTTAACCCTGTGTCCTCTTGTCCTGGGAGAAGAGACTGATGCCCCACCTGGCTACACGCTCCTTTCAGGTGGTTGTAAGAGGGTGGTCAGGGCTTCCTTGAGCCTCCTTTTCTTCCAGGCTGAACCCCAGCTCCCTCAGCTTAGAGGGACAGACTTAGAGAACTTGTTCTCCAGACCCTTCACCAGCCTTGCTGCCTTTCTCTGGACATGCTCCAAGCATCTCACCCTCACACTCTATCATCTTCCTAAACTGAGGGGCCCAGAACTGGACAGAGAACCCAAGGTGAGGCTTCACCAGTGCTGAGTACAGGCTCCATCACTGCCCTGCTCCTGCTGGCCACTCTGTTGCTGTCACAGGCCAGGATGCCATTGGCCTTCTTGGCCACCTGGACACAGCTGGCTCATGTCTACCCACTGTCACCAGCACCCCCAGGTCCCTTCCTGGCCACTGTCCAGCCACTCTGATCCCGCCTGTAGCACTGCAAGGGGTTATTGTGGCCAAAATGTGGCCACAACACTTGGATTTGGTCCAAGGCCCAGAACTTGGCCTTGCTGAGCCTCATGTTGCTGGATTTGGCCCAGGCTGTCTGTGCCCCTCTGCAGAGCCCTCCAACCGATCAACACTCCCCCTGTAACTTGGTATCATCCATAAATTTGTTAATGAAACACACAACGCCCTCATCCACGTGGTCAATAAAAACACTGAACAGAGCTGGCCCAGCACAGAGCCCTGAGGGACACCACTGGTGCCTGGCCCCAGCTGGATGCAGCACCGCTCACCAGCACTCTCAGCCAGTTCTGAGCCCAGCACTGAGTGCTCCTGTCCCAGCCGTGGGCTGCAGCTTTTCCAGCAGTGCTGTGGGAGACAGGGCCAAAGGCCTTGCTGGAGTCCAGGTACACAACATCCACAGCCCTTCCTGCATCCACCAGGCCGGTCACCTGGTCATAAAAGGAGACCAGGCTGGTCAAACATGACTTACCCCTCCTAAACCCATGCTTGGCTGCTTCTGAGCCTTCGGCCATCTGTAGATGCCATGTAATTTCACTCAAGAATTCCTTATACTTCCTTACATTGATAATCTAAGAAGGGCTATGTTACTGCATCCTGGTCTATTTGTCAGCTTTTTTTGCAGAATGTAAGACTTATGGTGACATATTTTCTATTTATCTTTTGGGACAATAGCAACGTATGTTTTTAGAGCACAGTGTTTTACATTTGTGGTTTACATTTACACTGGTTTGGTTGAGATGCTCTTAATTCTCTTTCTGAGATAGACTTCAAAGTAACTGAAGCAATTGCATGGCTTTTCTCTGTAACTGAAAAAAGAAGCATTGAGCCTTCCTTGACAGACTCACATTTGGTATTAACCAGCTTCTTAATTTTTCCTTCATCCTGCCAAGAAAATCCCTGCTGCATCAATATTCATTGCTCCTGCTGTCTTGAACACTTCAGATCCCTACACCTGGGTAAGGTCTCAGGAGCTAACTGCAGTAAGCAGCCTGGACACCCAAAATCCTGCAGCTGCTGAAGTTACCTAACTGCCCTCCTGCCTAGTAAGTGTCCAAATGGAACAGAGGAAACTGACCTTGCCCAATCCAAACCATAAGTCGTTTACAAATCATGCAATTTTAAAAACCAGCATAGTGGGGGCTTCTCTTTACCATAGGACTTCCTTACTTTTTATAAATTAAATAATTTTTCTACATTACCCTGTAAAATTCCATCAGAGTACTTATTTGTAGCTCTCCATTACTCATCTGATTTTCAGGGTTTTTGAATTAGTTTATCAGGTTTTGGTTCAATTTCTAGATCTTAACTGCTAATTTACATTAGTCCTTTGAGAGAAGGGGGTAGAAGAAGGAGTTTTTATGCCTCTAAAACCTTTCCATAAATGAAGTGCATACTAATAGAGTGGGCAAAGTTACCATCTTTAGATATGCACGTTTTCTGGCTGAGTATTACAGAACTTTACTCATATCAGGGTCAGGCCAAACATGGCATACTCTTGAAACAAGCCTACCTTTATCTTCCACTGTGATCAGCACTTCTGACGTTACGTTCCCAACTTTTGAGATGAATGAACATCTGTATTCTGTGTTCTCTGATACTGAATCTTTCACCCAGCTGAGAACATGCACTCTGCCATCAAGCAGCAGGTGAGATTGCTCCGTGATGCATGCCTTTATTTTTTGTCCATTCTTCCTCCAGACAAAGTAGGAGTTATCTGGACCTATAAAAATGTCAGGTTATTCTGTAAGATAATAGAAGATGAGTATTTGAAAAGAAAATAAGCCCCATCATGTCAAAAAGGTTGATTGAAATGTTTCTTCAGTTTCTTCAGTGGAACTGGGTACCAAAACCCTGGGATTAAGAGGAGCTAGCATGGGAAATTTAGGTTCAAACCCAAGTTGTGGGTTTGCATTGAGGAATTCTGTGTGGATTCACACAATAGGGAACTTAGCACATGTGGTAAGAGCCAGTGATGAACACCAGCAAATTCCTGTAGCACCAGGACATCCTGCCTACTGCTGCACAACCCAGGTCCTGGTACAAAGCTGACAACACCTGAGACATGCCTCATAGAATCTGAAAAAAAGGCCAGGAGGGGAAAAGTTCAACAACTCCATGCGTCAAAGATGCTGGAACCAGTAATGAGAGAGGGTAGAATTGGAAAAAGCACAGAACCAGTAGTCACAGCAGGCACTAAAGCAAGACAGAACTTGAAAGAACCTTGGATCAACAACAAAGAGGAATCTAATTTTTTAGCTTTGCTACTATTATTTGTCTTAACCTGCAAGGGCAACATTTGAATAAATCAGAGATTGACAGTAGCCTGGAGGACAGAACAGCTGTTCCCAGAAAACTAGCTAGGAAGGTTGGCTGAAGTGCACTTGGCAGCATCAGAACCTTTCCATTTAAAATACAGACATCTGAGCCAAGCTAAGAACTTGGTAATTCTGATGTTTAAAACATGACTATTTCTCCCTCTGGGCCTAGGATCCAGACTAGCCTTAGCAAGAGAAGATGTGAAGTGAAATTTGGTGTAAAAAGAAAATTAACTATGGCTGCAAATGTGTCTTGACAGAGCCTACTACAGCTTTTACTGTGAGCACTTCATATTGCAAGTTGATGTGGCATTTTTTCCCCTAGAACAATAAAATTCTGTCATTAAGTTTTAGATAATCATGCAGGAGGAAAAAACAGTTTTTACATTTGTGTACATATTACATATTTGTACATAATAGACATTGTTATGTTGTGTAAAAAGGAGATCGTGGCAAATTCTTAACTGCTAAGTTTTATTTCCAAATCTCTCACAAATATGGGCACATAAATTAGCAGTAAGGGTAAGTGTGAATGGTAGAGGACATGATCTAGTTAAAGCATTGCAGGGTTTCTCTGAGGGAAGTGGCACAGTCTGAAGGGCTGACAGCAGCTCTAACAAAGCGGAAAGGGCAAGCATACCTTGGGCTGAAAACAGGTGGTCTAGCATACACCATTTTTTTTAATTTTTCAAAGGTGTTTTAGGGATGATTGTACTCATTCTACAGCTAACAGCTGATAGGTTACATGTCACTAAGTCCATCAGAAGTCTGGAACCAGGGACAAATTACTTCAGTAACCTAAAGCTGAAGCTGGAATTTGAACAAATGGGAGGAATAGTAAGTGCAAGCACAGCAAGAAAATCAAAATCCCTAAGTGCCACTTTAGAGCCAAGCAAAGAAGCAGCATGTTTAGTGCAGAACACTTCCCTAACTTACTTCAAATGTACTATTTCACACCAGAGAACCTGCTCTGTTTTCTAGAGCTGAAGATCCCAATTGTGCTGGAAAATGGCCAAAATTTCCACTTACATCCACATTTCACTGAGAGATTAAAATGTAGCAATTTCCTTATACATGAAATTTTGCAAGCTGTGTTGGTTCAGACTGGTCGCTTATGAAGTGCAACTAGGCAATTTTTACCCGTCTGTTATTTTTCTGTGCAGTCAGAAGCACTGGAAATCCCCAGAGATACACACTCATCCCCACTTACACTGGTTGACAGCAAAATTTAGATGCAAGCAGTACTCAGGGTTTTTCCTGATCCTGTTCCAGTGCAACTTGTTTCCAATGTTCAGGCACCTACCGTCTCTACTTTGATTTCATTTTCAGGATGGATCAATACAAAAAAATACAATGTGACACAGTTTCATCTGCAAAAATTTTAAATCATATTTGTTAAATGCAAATTTTCTACAACTCCCTGTAATGGTTAGGGAAATATTTTTTGAAGATAAAGGAAAATAATAAAAACATATACTCTGTTTTTTTTGTTTTTTTTTTTTTTTTTTACTGTCACTATAATACAAATTAATTACATGTCTAGTGCAATCTTTAAAATACAAGTTTCTGACCTGATCTACTTACTTTGCCATCCATGTTAGGAATGCTTGAAAGATTTTAAGAAAGTAGTGTTATTAAAACATAATAATCAAGCAGAGAATTAAACAGCACAAGATGATAGGTACATAAGTAACTATACCTAAGCAGCCATGAAATAGATTTCAAACAGTTAACTTCAAAAACATTGCTTCAATAAACTACACGTGATTAATGAAAACAACTTCACCACCTTGATGATTTCAGAAGGGGAATTAACAGTTATCAAACAAAAATACAAAAAACTTTGTGGCATTATCTGAGCTACCCTTTCCTTTGCATAAGGCCTTCAAAATTTCCAGTGTCTCTGGAAGTTTTTGCTTCTTTCTCACACAGATTTCATTTTCTCTGTTTTCAGCAGTTTGAATGAAATGGTAGTGCCCAGGTATTAAAAGCCAGAGTAGTAATGGCCCAGGTAGTTTCTGCCAGCAGAATGGGTTCTCTGACCTATGTCAAATCAGGCTGGGTTACAAAAACCACATATTTCATACCCAGATTACTTTTTCTCAATATTTTCCACCGACAAAAATGGAAAAAAAATTCAACCACCATTCTTAGCATAGAAATTCAAACAACTGCAACTCCTTGTAATCTTCTACCCACAGTCTGACTGCATTCAGTGGGTTATTGGTGTAAATTTGACCTAAGGTTAGAAGAATTAAGTAAATAAAACCAGACTTAAAGTAACTAAAGTATAAAGCTACAGATTCAGAGCAGCATGGGGATGCACCCTGCTAAGCTGGACCAAATTAAGCATTTGCCATATATGCATCACATCCTAACAGACATATGGTTTTTCAAGACAGCTTGGAGACACTAATTCAAAAGAAGCTGATTATGGATTTAGCAGAGCTCAGTGACATAAGGCAGGGGGAGCACGGCGGAGCACTGGCCAAGCTGGCTCCTTGTGCCAAGTGCTTCCATGTGAAGAGAGCTGTGGAAACATTTCAAAAGCAGCCCAGTGAAGCTGCATTTTAAAATGTGAGCAGTGCTACCACTGGTGGTGGTTCAGCACAAACTCCTCCTCATTTCTAACCCAGCTCTTGAAGGGTAGCATTTGAATAAGACTTCTCTAAATTCATGAAAATATTTCCAAGACAGGGGGGTTAGTACAAAAGCAGGAGCCATCAGAAAACCTACACCCCAGCTAATAATTGCTGCAGATTGACAGCAAATTGAAATCCAGTGAAGATAAACTGACAGGTATCCCAGAGAGAAATTCTACCAGGGTAACAAAAAGTCTTTTACACAAATTCCTATTATCTAGACAAAGAACTGCTACCAGAGGCTATCCATAGGGATGGGAAGTTAAAGCTTATGAAAAAAACTCCCTTGTATAACCAATATACATCAAAACCTCTTTCAAAACTCACCATGTGCATCCGATTAAGAATGACATCTGGATTTAATGCTTGTTATCAAGCTCACAGCTTTGCTGAATTCTGCTGAAGCAAAGATCCCAGATTTCTGAAAACCAAGATCATACAGGCAGCTCTCATCTGGAGCAGGGATTAAGGTTTAAAAAGGCACTATAACCTGGATGCAGGAAAGTCTTCTTTTAAATCAGACATCAAAGTTAGCCCAGGAAGAGGTTAGTCAATCATTAATATGAAATATTATCACCTGCACTACTCAGTATGTGAATAAAAGATTTAGGGCTGATCACAGTTTCTTGAGTTGTAGGGAGTCTGAATCATTGCTGCTGCTGATGCCAAAATAATAAATCAGTATGAAATGAAGCCATCAGAGGGTAGCTGACTTGAAAAGTGGGGGGGGGGGGGGGGGGGGGGTGGAGGGGGGGGGGTTGAAATCTTTAATTTGAGACAAGCATCTTTGCAGTTTTGTGCAAATAGTATGCAAGTTACATAGCCTGTACCCCCTACCTATAACTGGGGTGCATTTTTGGGGTAGTTTTGTTGGTTGGTGTTTGATTGTTAAATCAGGGTAATTCATTCTAGAAGATAAGCTTGACAGCAATGGAAAAAGAAAAGCCAATAAAAAGCCAAGAAAACAGACCTCTCTGAAATGCCAAAGAATATTACTTCCAATACCAAGTATTGGACACTGAAGGATGCATGAGGTCCTGCAGACACCTGGTGTAAGTTACCCATCCCTTTGTGCAACATCAACACCACGAGCTGATGCAGCTTATCATGGCAGAGGGGCAGCAGGAAGTGCTTCCTGCAGAATGTGAGCCATGTAAAAGCTGTGAGCAGCCACTCACTAGAGGTGATGCACAGCACACGCAGGTGCAAGCAGGACAGGGCATCCATCTTCTCGGAGTGGAATTTAAAACCAGGCTGGGAAAATGGCTGACTGGCCCATTAGATAAAAATGCAATTTTTATCATGCATTTATTCAGATGCTGATAATGTCCAGAAAAAGGTTTTGCACTTGGATAATTATCTGTGGGAAAAAAAAAATCTTGATGAAGCATTAGGAAGCTAGAACCAGGGACTGCTGTCACAAAAAAAAAAAAAAAAAAAAAAAAAAAAGGTTTCACTTTCACAGTATCACAGAATTAACTAGGTTGGGAAAGACCTTAAGACCTTGAGAGTCCAACCTATCAGCTAACACCACCTTATCAACGAGCACAACACCAAGTGCCACATCCAGTCTTTCCTTAAACACTTCCAGGGATGGTGACTCCACCACCTCCCTGGGCAGCCCATTCCAATGCCCAATCACTCTTTTCTGAAGAACTTTTTTACTGATGTCCAGCCTAAACTTTCCCTGGCACTTACTGTTTGCCTAATGATTATTTGCCATCCTATCAGCTAACAAGGCTACTATGTTAAGTTTTAAAATAAAACAAAGAAAATTGGAGAACATATTTTAAGGAGTACCATGCTCTCCAAAACCCACTTCTATTCTCCCGAGAACACAAACTACTTCTTTTGCTTTGTTTGATAGGCAGATCTAGCAGGAAGATGACTGAAGAGATGGAAATGAGATTTTCATCTCCACTCTGGGGACAATGCACACAAAATACTGAGACAGTTCTGTACCCTGGTAGTACCTGTAGCGGTTACTACCAGGGTACTGCTTCAAGCCAAGACATTACTGAATCAAGAGTTCCAAGGACAAAAGTCAAAATATTTCTGCTGAACTGCAAAAGAAGAAAGGCTAAACTGGGAGGTCAGGTAAACTGCAAACAAACTATACAGAGAATAGAATACAAACCTAAATTAATCCCTCTCCCTCCTGAGAGAAGACATCCCAAAAGGCATTTGGGTCTCCAAAGTCCCCAGTGTGAAGCAAGCTTCTTTTATACTTAGTCATATTACAGAAGCTGGTGCAGATTCTGCTCCCTTGCAGTCTCCCAGAATTATGTACATTAAATTCAAATGGAGAATACTGCCCTTTTTGTGACAGAGATGAACTCTGTCAGCAGAGTTCATCTCTGCTGACAGCCCAAGCAGCACCCAGTCCTCAAGCAAGCTGAGAAGCTGAACTAGACAACTCAACAGCAAAGCTGCTGCTTTACAGAGGTTCTCCTGCACAGAGGTGCCAGCTTTTTGCCTCAGCCTCACCTGATTTTTTGACAAGCTGTTCTCTCAAAAGGGTGGCTTGTTCAAACCGTGAGGGTAAAAACTGGTAAAAAACTGTGTTTTTAACCTGTGCAAAGCTCTGAAAACCACGCAAGGGCTTTATTTTCCCGAGCCCCCTGCTGACATGAGCTGCAGCCTGTCAGACTGAGTGGTGAGCGTACAGAACACCAGCTGCTGTGCACGGGACACACTGCAGCAGGCTGCAGCCTCAAGTGCTCTGCACATCACAGCAGCAGCAACTACTGCAGGCTGCAGCTGCTAGTCCCAGGTAGACTCAATCTCCCAAGGTGCTTCAGGATCTTCCTTTATGTTTTAATAATTTATAAACTACCAAAAGCCACACAAGATGTTTTCCACCTGCACCTTATTACTCATTCCACAGGAAAAACCTGTACGAGTGCATCAGCTGCACACGGTGAAATGTGGGAAAACAACAATTTAACCAAATCTTCTGAGGAAAAAAAAAAAAAAACAAGACAATTTTGGTTCTACATCTTTTCCTTTTTCTCCTCTTTTTAAATTTGATGCCTGATGCTTTTTAATTTGCCTTATGCTTACAATTATTTTTACACTGAACTTATTCTAGTCTTTACTGGAAAACTAATTTAAAGTTAAAACAAAAGAAAATAAAACAGAACAACCAACCAAACAACAGCAAAATAATCCCCCTAAAAAAACCCAAAAAAGGTATTCTTCTTGCATATTGATGTCATGGGTATTGCTTAGGAAAGCATCACTGTGTAAGTCTCAAAATATACTGCATAAAAATTTGAAAGTTTTCTAAAGTTTTGAAATATTTGTGCAGTGGATTGATTTGTTATCATGTTACAAAAACTAGCCTTGTTATCTCTCCATGGCTGTAATTTAGAGCCACTTACCAACTTCAACTGGTTATAAAACACAAGTGTATCAAAAATTTCTACTTGATATTGGTGTTCTTGTAAGAACAGAAAAGTAACAACACAAGTTAAATCCACTGTAAGATACTGATAATTTAAATGCCATCATTTGTCACGTCAGACAAACATTTTGCCTAGCACAAAGAACATTCCCAGGCAGGCTCATTCTGCTCTGGCTGATGCACACCTCCATGCCTCACCTGACTGAGCTCTACACCAGACCAGACCACCCCAGGGCACCATGGCTGATGCAATCATGCAAATGATGCAAAAAAAAACCCAAAAAAAACCCCAAAAACCAAAAACCTCACCCAAGAATGAATTACTTATTTCCATGGGTAAGTCAGTCTCTGACAGGTGACCTCCTCCTGGGGGAAAAAAAAAAAATTTCCCCACCCTTCTGCATGTTTTTCAGTGCAACTGCAGGCTCCACCAAAGAGGAACCTCTAGCGAACCACTTGCAACTCTGATTCTTGCAAGTTATGGATCTTTTCTTCCACAGATGTGGGAAACTGTCTTCTACTCCTTCTAGAACAGTGTAACCACAGGAACAGGCTTTGTATGTGTTACCAGATACCCATCTCAGCATCTCCATGAAACAGTAACTCCCCGAAAGTGTATTTCCAAGTTCACAGAACTTGTATGTTCACACTACTGAACCCATTTTTTTACCAAGAATGAAAACAATCCAATATGTAAAATCTCCAGCTACAGATAAATTAAGGGAGGGAGTAATCTTGACACCATGGACACAAAGAGGCTTGATCTGCTGATGAAACACAGTGTTTTGCAGTGTTTGATTATAAAAACATTTAAACTATCACACAGCACACTTGCTGTATTTTAGTTTTATCTGTGAAATTATGGACATGGAGCTAAAGCAGGGGGAGGAGGTGCCAGTAAAACATCCTTGAGCAGAATCAAAACTCTGGGAAAAAACCTGTTCCTACTATACCCAATTTCAACAGAGTACACCAGAGAAATTATACAGCAGGTGTGTGCACCACCAACTCGCTGTTTCTCCCCTGAACCAGATGTTGTAGCATTTTGTTCAATTTATTTGAAACTTGCCTTAACTGCCTCTAGAAGTTTAAAAAATTCTGTAATGGGAGAGAAAATTTCTATTAGAGCAAGTACACAGGAAACCTAATGTTCGTCCATGCACATATAGCAGACAGGTCTCTAGAGAAATATGAGACTCTGGGGGAGTAGAGACAAACTGGGAGAAAATTTGCAAAGGGAGATTTATTCCTCCCTTTTCCAGAAGAGTGGAAGTATTCCATACTTGAAACAACTTCTTTTTCAGAAAAAATGTAGCAGTTTGCCACAAATGCCGTTTGTGTTGTATCACTCAAGTTTACCTTGTGGAAATGAGCCAGTACAAGGCTGTAAAGTCTTATCCTCAGGTAAGCTTTCAGGTTAAAACATGTGGGATGAGTAAGAGATGAGCAAAAGAACTCACCAACTCCTGCTGAGCTTCCAGACAGCTTGAAACTGATATTTACAATTAAAAAAAGGAAGAGATTCAGCAATTCTGATAAAATAACAATTAAGCTAGAAACTTAATTAAAAATAAGCTTTGAGGTTTTTACTGGATGATGTGGCAATCTATGTATTTGCATCATACATTTACTGATGCCATATCCTTTTTTGAAGACAACCAGGCACAACATTTAATTCTCTGCCAGTCTAATTTAACCCTTTTGCACCTTGCAAACACATTTTACTTTATGTTCATGGCTGAGAGAAATCAAGTTCCACTAAAGCTATATTAATATAAAGAAATATAAACCAACACTGAACAAATTTGAACAAAACCAGAGACCTTCCTTGCAAGAGCAATTCTTTAGCTACCCCCCACCCAGGATTAATTCATATATCCTCATGTGCAGGACCCAGAAAGATGCAAATATCTGCACCAGTTCTGTGTGCTGGTCTGCATTTGCTGGTTTGCATGTTTTTTAAATCAAGCGACTGAAGTTCTGGGTAAGAGACGAGTGTGATGTGTCAGCTAAATGCCTTGCTTCCGAAAGGGAGCAAAAACTCTGTCCATAATACAAAGTCCAGTCCTCCCCTGCTTTGATGTACATTGGAAGAACTTCTATAGCTGGGTCACCTTGACCCCACCTGTACCATTACTGCATCCCTTGGATTCCAGGTGGTTGTGAGGAGTTTGTTCCACTATTCACCCCTACACCTTCTGAGGAATGGAGTCCACATGCTGCCTTTAGGACACTCTGCCTTCCTTCCTAAATTCATCACCAAGGAAAATACAATTACTGACAATTTTTAAGAGCAGCATCCGTATTATGTTAAGATTGGTACTGCTGGATGAAAAAAAAAATTCTAAAATGAAGTCTAGGTCTGTAGCACAATTATCAAGTTGTTTAAATCTTTTGTGCTATTGTAACCTTTTTTTTTTTCATAGTGGACTACCAAGTTTCTGAATTGCCTATCGCAAAAGTGAGCAAATTACTGCTGAAAAGTGCTTTCCAATCTGAATGATTCTAGTCTATGAAAGAACCTTCATCCCACATTTGTTCCTTTCAGCCACAGAAATACAAACAAGGCCTTTGTTAAGATCTACTCTAATAAAGATTTATGCATTTCCATCTGATGCCACGTAATGCTAACAGAGATGCCAATAGGGAACAACAATACTTTTTATATTCAAGCTACATAATTTCTTCTTTTAAAAAATAAGGTTCCATATGAAGACCTGTTTCGATCCATTAAATCATACTTAGTTTAAACCAGCAATTACAAATTGTAATTTGTAATAATCCAAACAAAAACTGGAAAAAAAGCTGAATTGCTGTGAAGAAACAGCTTTGTCCTCCTTTACACCTCAGGTAATGTATCTGCTATAAAATGGAAGTTATTACTGTATGTACTTCGCCACTTGAAATAAGATGGAAATAGGGATGACGGTCCACAAAATATGCTAAGTTCAAATTCAATAAAAGTGTACTTTTTAAACTGCATACACACTGACAATGAAAATATCTACCTGCTAAACATCCATATGCGATCCTGATTCACTGAATTCCTTCAGCACTCACAGTGACTTATTCTTGGTAAGAGCCTGCTGGCATCCTGATGCATGCTGGCATCCTGATACTGTCTCTCTTTGTTCTTGTTTTTCCCCCCCAGACATCACAAAAGGAAGATTTATACAGTACACATGGTGACACAGCTAAACCTTTAATGCAGAAAAGTGCTGGCTTATACAGGGTCCTCCAACTTACCTGTGGCTTGGCAGAAGAGGTGGAAGCGTCCCCGGACACTAACATGCTGTGCCTGGTCACTTAGGAAAGGTGGCAACAACATGACCTTTACAGGGTCTTTGCTAGACCAAACATCAGGCTGGGTACTGGTGGGTGAAGGAGGTGAATCACTTCCCACACAGGACAAAAAGGAGGTACCAGTAGGAGGGAAAGGTATGGGAGATGAGGCTGTGTGACAGAAGAGGACAGAAAAGAAAGTAAAAGGGTACTAAGGAAAGAAGTTGCAAGAAATACATCACACAATGAAAAAATAATGCAAAAAGACAAGTGAGTTTTAGAAAGGTAGTAAGACCAAGTGTCCCTAGGCCCCCAAAGAAGAGCACTCTCCTCCTTCTCCCACATTGTTTTTCTCGCATCCTTCCCATCTCCCCACCCTGGGTTATAACCCATTCAGTTGAAGCTGAGAGGCTGCTTCAAATTAATGATGAAGTTTTTACATTCCCCCCAAAGGAAATCACAAGGAACATTAGTGCTTGCCAAATGGAAAGCACTGCTGTGTCACATTTCAGAAAATCCAAGATGTAATACAACTTATTTTAACATTTATTCTGTTAATAGAAAAATAAAACCAAACGGAATCTTATAAAATATAAACTGTTTACACTAAGATGGTCTAAATTATGTTTGCATGAAGGTTCAACACAGAAAAGCAGCCCAGGCATACTGCTATTTACTGTTAAAATGTATTCTACTTCTAGCAATATTTACAGAACGAAGCAGTGAGAGGAACAATTCTCCAGGACTGTACTGCACACATAAAATGCTTTTACAGACAAACAATGCTGCTGTGAACCAGGCTGAGAACAAATGCACACTTTCACGTTAGCAGGCATGATTCACATAAACAGTTCAAAGGACTGATTGTTTAAGCAGCTCCAGTTTCAGTCTCCAGTTGCATAGGAGAGTGAAGGTATCATCCAGAAAGGGCGACGCTGCAAGTATTTGTCACAAAAAGAAGCTGAGTTATTTCTGAATCTGAAAAGAAGAAAACAAACCAGCAACGTTTTCTCATCAGGCTGTGTTCTAACAGTCCATTCCAGCGAGTCACTAGCTGAATTGTTGGAGAAGAATTAATTCTTCTTGCTTCCTGTTTTGCTTCCACAATGCAAGAAACCTCTTTCCTTGTCACTGCTCACTGACAGTTGCTTGCCTGTACTGCTCTATTAACTAAAGAAAAAAAAATGAATCCAGTTTTGTATAGAAAATAAAATGTGACTACATCCAGCTGGCTCGCTGGTGGGGGGGAGGAAAAAACCAATAAAAGAAAAAAAGAAGCATTTTTTTCCTCCTTCCCCATTCCCCACTTACTCCATGTTTAGTACTGATATTGTTGTACCTACATTTCTAGTAAGCAGCAAAGAAAAGAGCCTTTAAACAAGATTATCCCTGAGTCTTACACAAATCAAGGCAATGCTATCCCCATTATACCTTAAAATCTAAGATACTTGTAGAGCAGTTAAAAAAATTAACTTTAACCAACTAAAGAGACCTAGTGTGCCAAAACACAAAGCATAAAACTAAAAACAATCACTAGAAGCAAAGAAAAAAAATGTCCCAATCTGGACAAAAGTCTATAATTTACCAATCTGATAAACTAAACTCAATTTCCAATTTGGAATTAAAATGAAACTAGATCTTTTTTTAATGGCAACTAAAAATATGTGAAGACTGAAGTACTTTTTAAAGCCAACTGAATTATAAAGTTACTTTTACTCTATTGAAGAATATGGCCAAAGAACAAGCAAGTAGCTTCACTAGAGCAAAGTGCTCAGTGTGGGGGAAAACTGGGAATAAACAAGTGGCGATCTGAAACTGGCCATTTGAATAAACAAAAAAAACGACAGTACAACACAAGATGTTCTGGTCTCCAGACAAGTACACCACTCTAATTTGTTGAGATCTAAATGAAAATTGGCTTGCTGTACAGCTGAAGCATGTAATCCTTGCTATGGCTTAGCTGTCACACCCGGGGTCTCCGTGCTCAAACAGCCAGCTGCAGGAGCACAGCTCACTTCCACCACGGAGAGGGACCAGGGGTCCTTCAGTCCCCCTCCACGTCCGAGTCGGCGTACTTGAGCTCGCACTTGACGTCGAAGGGCTTGTCCTTGGCCTCGCGGGACGCCTGCGAGTCCCCGGCCTGCAGCTGGCTGTTCCCGCAGTCCGGCTCCGTCTCGTAGCCCGTGTCGTGCGCCGGCTTGGGCTGCTCCCCGCTCTGGTGGCTGACGCTGCCCTGCTCCACCAGCATCTCTTTCACACTTTGCTCGCAGTCAGAAAAATCTGACTTCGTTTTCTTCTTGCCAAGCAGCATCACAGAGCGAAACTTCAAGCACTGCCCTGGCAAGTAGCCTTTGTAACAGTTGTAGGAGAGCAGGCACAAAAACAGCATGAAAAAGAAGAGGAAGAGGAACATCAACAGGAAGTTATCATTTGACTTGAGGAACACTGTCTTTTCCGGGACTGCATCAGGAATAGAATTGAAGAGCTCTGTGTTGGAGGCTACACTTGTTAGGACAGGGCCAATGGGCTTTGTTAATATCCTTCCTGTGGTTACTGGTACCATGTGAGTGGTGGAGACGTGAGCAGTGGACCCCTCAGCCGATACAGCTGACACTTTGAGCACATCACTATTACCTTCTACTGGTGCAGCTGTTGTAGTGGGGGCCACCATGGTACGCTGCATTTTTTTCAGTTCCAAAACATGCTTAGCCAGCACTTGAGAAAATTTCTTATTTTCCACTTTTTCTTCTGACAAACATTGGTAAACACCACTGTCTCCTTCTGATAAATTGAAGATGAGCAGTGCCTTCTCCAGCAGACGGTACTTGGGACTCTCCACTCTCAGCACATCATCTTTGAACTTCCAAACTACCTGTGCCAGATTGGACTTTTGAGAACACTTGAGTTCTGCTGTGCTCCCATGCTTGAATGTATGCTGTAGGGGATTCTCTCTTACTTTATCTGGAACATCAAAATAAACGTGCAGAGTATCAGCAATGATTCCAGTTTGCTCTAATCTGTACAGCTTCAACAGACTGTGTTACAGTCTTACTGGAAGCACGAAGATTATGGCATTCACCTCACAAGAACAGGTGGACAGCATGCAAGAATCTCAGTGGAATACCAAGCTGCATGTGGAACATCAAGACAAACTAAGAGACAGGACACCTCAACTCTAAGACAGCCTCCACTTCTAGATAAAGGTGAGACCTCACTGATCCACAACTGAGTATGCACCCGAGAAGTCACTGTTGAGGAAAGATACTGTACCTGGTCTCACTTTATATCCAATCACTGCATTTTAAGTAAAGCAGCAACTACAAAGTATGCAAGAGGAAACTGAACTAGGAACTCTCTTCTGAAAAAAAGGATATTTGCACTTATGGCACATCCACAACTTATGGCATCCCGTAAGTTAATAAAAAAAATTACAAGCAAAGCTCTCATGGTGGTCCACGCTTTGCTCAGATTATAAATAAAAAGTGAGTACACCAAACTCTTAAGAGTTTTTTTTACTTGCAGCTAAAATCACCTGTAACTCAACTCCATTTTATGATCTCCTTGATGTGGTGGCAGCAGCACACAGGACAAAGAAAAGACCTGTGGTTACTTGCTTTAAAGCACTATGGAAGGTACTTCAGCTGCTCTATATCATGTTCTAAGTTCCCCCTCCCCATTCCCCATAAAACCAGCTTTTTTTTCAGAATAATTTAATCTGATCTAGCAGCAATAACCAAGCACTTGTCAAAGCTCACAGTAGAATGTCAAATGCTGCATCAAAGAGACAGAGGCCTCTGCATTAGAAGTACTTCTGGTATTGCTTTCATTCACAAGTCACTGTTGAGGTGCCCCCATTCATTTCAGGGGTTGTGCACTGCACACTGAAATGCATACAAACACAGACAGTTTTTAAGACAACATGCAGATTGTACAGATGCTCAAATATTCAAGGCAGAATCCCATACCTATTACAATGTAAATGAACGTCCAGATAATCACAAAAGCAAAGCTGAACTAAACAGAGCTCTCTCACCGCTCCGCCCAGACACATGAAGGAGCTCTTCAAAGACTAACTCACCAGAACAAGAAGATGCATCTCCACCTATGTTTTGAATCCAGTTCCTGTAAAAGGAAGTCCAATCATTACAACTTCAAATCTTGTTTCCTAAAGTCTGCCCATCCCCTTGTACTAATAAGAGTCATTGAAACAGCACTAGCAGACATAAATGGATAGGAAAAAGTTTGTATTTGAAAACTTTCAATTTTAAAAATTCTAATTATCAGTGTGGGACAAGACTGATTAAATATTGACTGAAACTGTAAGGTCATCAAAGGATACTATTACCTTCCCATTTCACTTTCTTTAAAAATATCAATGCAGGAAGCTTCAAGAGGTTTCCAAGCACAATAAGGATCCCTTGCTAAAACACAGTCAACACAAGTGGTGTACTTGTCACAAAATGACACTGGAGACTGCACCACACCAGAATTTGAAGCAGCAAAGAGGTATCTTCTGCCCTAAAGAAAACAAAGCACAACAAAAACCATCACAGCCTCAAACCCAAACAACCCAATTCATGGAACAATTTATGTGTTATTAAAGAGCCGCATACATACAGCCTTTTTTATAAAAAGTAGTGCCTCAGCAGAGTAAGCATTTGATTAGCTTTTGTTTCTAGAAAGTTATCTTTGAAGTATTGCAGCAATGCTGAAAAGTGCAAAAAAGACAAGAAAAAACTGGAACAAGTATGTGGAAAGTAACCATGTCTAAGAAGTATGATTGCAATAATCCTTCTGTGAGGCAAGGCAAGGCTGTGCTGGTGACAAGGCTGCAGTTGGCACATCCAAGACTGAGCATGCACAGGGCTGCTCCTGTTAACCCAAAGCACCTCCACTGCCTTCAGCTCTTTAGCCAGCCAGTCTCTGCAGCCACATCAGCATCATCCTTATGAGAGTCAAATGCCTCTTAAGGAAGAACACTGGTAGTACTCAAAGGAAACAGCACTGGAAAGACACTGAGAAGAAGGGGAAAATAATTGCAATGGCTGTTGAACCCTTGCTGCTGGGCATCCCAAAGCAGTCTGACCACACTCATTATAAAAGGCAGGCAGCTGTCCTATTTGCTTTAGAGCTCAGGGAAAAATGACAGCTAAAGGTACACTGGGACTTTACGTACTATCAGGCAAAACATCAAGAAAGGGATGTCTGCAGTGCTCATAGAAGGAAGTCTACAGTGTTTGAGACATGTAACTTCCTAGGAAAAGCTTCCAATTATGCTCAAAAATTTCCACAGTGCACCAAGCACTGCTCACCCTCAAGTGCTCTGCTGGATAACACTGCACACGGGCTGTAGTGTCTTGGCATGTTTCCCAGCTCATACATCCAAGATTCCAGGGAACATGCAGTGAGCTGAGCAAACTATTTTAAAAAGACACACCTTCCAGTCAAGCAGGAATTAAGGTGATCTACTGCAGACTCATCTGACTGCCCACCACCCTCCACACACTATGGGAAGAACCTAGAGACTACTGAAAAATGCTCTCAGAAAGGACTCTGACTCCAGAGAGGTCTAAAGCCCACCATGAGGGTAATTATTATCCTTCTGCAGTTAATCCACTACTGTGGGATGCCATGACACATAACACAATACCAGCTCTGTGATGGACTTCAGCAGCCACTGACTGTGGAGGCAGAAACTTGTGCTTTCAGGCTGTTTGGGTGGTACTGTGACTATACAGTTATCACAACTCTGGCAGCTGACTCAAACTCCCACTCCCCATCACTGGAAAGGATCTCTGGTTTTATGGGAATGTACTGGGCAGCATTACTTCAGTGAGAATGTGGCACCTGGACCCAGAGTGAATAAATTCAATGCCATTATTCCTACAGCAGCCTTCCAAGCGTGTGCTGAAATTGCTACATGATGTGTATTTGTATCAGGCTTAATGCCCATCACTTTCTTAGCACTCCCCTGAAATAGGCAAATCATAATTAAGCCAGTGTAGGATTGATCCCACAATTAAAAGAATGGGTATTAGCATATACATTAGAAGAGCTATCAATCATTATCTTCTATGACAGGGCAAATTCCAAAACTTCCTGTCAAAGAAAGTAATTTGAACCTTTTTTTGCAGATTAAGCAAATATTTTGTGTGTATGTATGTATATATATATATATATATATATATACACACACATAATACATATCTGCAGATATATAAGTGAGTTGTCAGTGTGATGTATCCTACAAAAATAACACAAATATGTTTACAGAAAACTAAGCACAGATGTTTTTAATCCTGCTTTCCATTTGTCTAGCAAAACCACTTCTTTCTATTATAAGCATGAAAGGATAAATTAGCACGCAGAATGAGCTTGTAAAAATTATGGCATAAAGCTCAGTTCCACTGAGCTGATCATGTTGACATGCACAATTTTATTAAATATCACACAAAAATAAAAGCTGTTTCAAAGTATTCCTAAGCCCCTAAACTGCACTGGTATTACCACTAGACACTTCAAAAGAGGCATTCAATCTTTATGAAAGCCAGAACACCTCACTGATGCTGATGCTACAAGTGACTTTAGGCACAGACAGATATATTCATGGATGTGATGTTCTGAGCAAGCAGGGGCAGAAACCAAACTCATGAACAAACTACACACAGTGAGCATCCTCCTACTGTCACAGAAACACTCTAGGATTAAACCAAACAACTGATAAACAGGGCTGGACAGCTGCCAGGTTTGGAGTGTGCAGCAGCTCTTGTGCCATGCAGCTGGAGCTGCAGCTGGTGTCCCACTGGGCAGACAGGACCTCACAGAGGTCCTCACCCACAGCTGCAGCAAAGAGACTGCTCTCATGACACAACTAGCATGCAGGAGCCTGCGAGATCTGGGACAGCAGAAGTCAACTATACAATTATGAGTCCTATGCTAGAAGACTGTTCTCTCTTCTTTGGTCTATTTCCTCAAAACCACACATACTCCTCTGCTAACCTCAATCCCTGCGGTTTTTCCTCACAAATCTGCAGTGGCCACAAGGGGTCAGGTTTTTTACAACCCTGCAAAACTGAAACTAGTTTCTTATAACATCCTACAGGTTCCCGCTTCTGCACTTGGAAACCAAGTGAAGACCTGCATACCTGTGCTCCTCTAGCCATTCCCCAAGTGTAAATACCTCCAGAAGCTTAACCAGCTACCAAACATACTGAAATGCAGCAGGCAAGATGTGATTGCTGCAGCATGTTGAGTTACAAATGCAGTCTTTGGCTGGCTCCATGCACAGAAATGGTCTTGTACAAAAAATGTTTTGTGAAAGAACAAAAGGCAATAAGCGCTGTGATGCTTGTAACACTCACTGTTTTGGATGAAAGCAAGAGAGTTTGGACTGGTTCAAAATCTGGAAAAAGCTGTGTTTCTTCAATAATATGCATTCCATTTTCATAGCTGATAGCTTTGTGCAGGGCTCCTCGATCTGAAACAAAAAAGCAGTATGTTTAAGAGCTCTGAAATAAAAAGGCAGGAAAAAAGCCTTCACAACTGTTATAAGTTGTCTCAGCAGAACAATTCTGTGTCAAAGGCAACCATGAAACTTGCCATGATCAGGACTTCTGAGCAGGAAATAACATTTTGGGGCACAGAATGACCAGTTGGGAATTATATTGTGTAGTTTTGCTTAATTCACTGAAGCTTTGTAGCTCTTTTCCTGCAATATTATTTCAAGGCACCTAAGATTGTCAACTTACTGTGACACCTTACTTTTTTTAAATCAGCTGCCGTAAAAGCCCTGTAAATACGGAAATCTCAAGAGTTTCTCCAAGAAAACTTAAGAATTGGTACATCACCAAAACCAGGTGTTCTGCAGCACTCACCTGTACCGATGAACATAACATCGTAGATGGTGCCATTGAGTGCTCTGACTCTGTCAACTACAATCTGTGTATACTTCACATCCCGCTTTACTAGGCGAGGTCTGTCTCCCATTGGAGTCACTGAATCATCCATTAGAGGATGATCTTTAACAAACTGCAATGTTTTGTCTGGTAAATTCAGAGAACTCATGTAGTTTGATGCTCTAGCTTCATTGTTTATACACTAGAAGGAGGGGCAGGGAGTGAGTGAAAAAGAAAAAAAGAGAACCAAATTGTATCATTTAGTGGTACAAAATAAAGACAATTAACAGCAGTTGCATGCATTTTCTTCTCCACATTGCTCTGGCCAGTAACCACACCTGTACACTCTACTCATTGCACCAAGGAAGGTTCTCAGACCTCACAGCACTTTAATGTGCTAATCCCTGAGCTTTGGACTACATTTTTGTTTTGGTCCACAATACATTTTAGGACGATATTCCTTCTGTGCTTTCATGCACCTTCAGTACTTTTAACCATCACCTCTTTCAGCACTAGCAACAGTATGACTATAAGGAAAATAAGGAAGTAAAAAAAGTCTGAAAGAGACCCAGCACTAGGAAAATTTGAGTGTGCAAAGCAGTGCACTACACTAGATAGACATGCTGATTCTACTGAAACAATGCAACAGCTGCTATACTTCCTTTCATCTGATCAAAAAGGGTATGATGTTGCTAGTGTAAACTGAGTTTTATTTCACAATGACAAAATTATTAACAAAATAATGAAATACAAAACCAGCAAACAACTTAATTCCAAATTAAAAAAAAACCAAATACTTTGATTCCCAGATAAAATGTTCAGAACATATCACTTCAGGATTTTTCTATGAATTTTTTAAAAGAAGTAACCAGGTGAGGGCAAACATTAGTAGGTTACTAGTATTCCCTAGTCTGTTTCCTCCTGAGCACTGAAAAAGTCACAAGATCCAAGACTATGGAAACTTACCGCACCAGGTCGAGGATTTGGAATTTCCCCGTTGTATTGTACCCACTTTATATGAAACTGTTCCACTGTAGCACTCTGCATGTATTTTCCTTTTGAGAAAACCTCTTCTACAGCAGACAGACTGTATGCACACACTGCTGATATCCCCACATCATTCCTATTAATTAAGGAAGAAATTAGGGAAAAAAACAAAACACAACAAAACATAGGAGCAATTATCATTTTCTTGTAGTAACCAATTGAGATTAAAGGTACGTATCCAGGAACAAGCTATAGCACACTTACAGTTGTGGGGTGAAGACTCCATATATCACTGGTTCCTTCAAAGTCGGAGATTTAAGAATAAAAACATCATTGATAACATTGAAAATTAAATTCTTATCAGGGATGGTACAAATTAGTCTGGCCTTGAGAAACGAAGTCCATTTCTTCTGCAAGATCCTTAATCCTCCTTGGTCGCTCTTATGATATTAATAAAAAAATAAAAAGGTGTTTGTGAGGAGAACTAGCAGCATTTTTGCACTTAAGAACCACTGCTATATAGCATGCAAATACTAAGCCCTGGTGTTTTATAATATTTCATCTATAGCAACATCTATTTAATCTATAGCAACATCAATAAATGTTAACATATTCACAAACAACACACTATGAAAGCCACAGGAAAACTGGTCCAACAAAACAAATGCAAAATTATTTCTATCACACATTCAGGGAAGATGAAATATGGGAGTTAATGAAGAACCATACTTCAGCATCACTCAGAAAAACTGAGATGGGCAATGTATCATTAGGAAAAAAGTAAAACAAGCACGGAAGTATTATACTGTCCTTTAAGAGAAATATGTAATACTGCATTTGTTCAGTGACATCAAAATTGATTCAAATTCTAACACTGCAATATGCTTTAAGACTTGCCTGACATTGATAATTTCATCAGAAGAAATTCAGCAATTCTTTAATCATTCTAGAAATTACCACCTTTATTAAGGATTTCCAGGTACCCAGGCTTAACTTAAGATATATTGGCTAGAAATGTATTTCAAAATATTTGATAATTGAGCTCTAGCTCTGATATTTCCCTTATAAAAGGGCATACTGAAACAGTATTAATATTTCCATTTATTATCCAGTTGTGTATGCAATGTATTAAAGAAAATCTGCAAAATGTATTCAAACAATTAAGCATAAATGCTTACAGATTTGCAATCTGTCACTGATTTCTATTTCAAACAACACTCTGAAATACATAATAATATAATAAATGAAGCTCTCATATTCCACTGTACTCCCCTTTTGAAGTGTGCACAAGCTGTCTGTAGGCAGAGTGCCATAATAGCAAGCCCCATCTAAACCTGCCTCCAGCTCCTTGTTTAATGGAAATCTCAAGGGCTTTAACTTGTTATTGATATTTTGACTTCCTTGTTTACATACAAAACAGTAAAGTCAAAATAAAACTTTCAACCTCATAAAAATGAAAGAGCCAGATAAATTTCCTGTTGGAAAAAAAGGAAATTGATACATTCCACTTAAAAAAAATTGTTAAATAAACATTTTCTACTGAAAAAACTTCCATCAAGACTTTTAACCAGCACTCCTGAGGATGTACTTGAATCAGCTTAACACACAAAGGTTTAAGCACAGCAAGTGTGACAGAATCAGGCTGCTGGTGACCACTTCCCTTCAGGCTCTGGCAGCTGTAGCAGCTTCACAGAGGTCCCATCTGCTACAGAACAGTCAAGAACTATTTTGCTGTGGACATGGCTACAGCTGTGTTTGCATACAGCTACTTCAAAGTCACTTGACACACATCCTATCTGCTCAGCTCCAACCAATGTCACTTCTTCACAGGGAGCTGTACTTGTTGAAAAAAATTAACAATGAAAACTGAAGCAACACTTTTTCTGTTGCTGGGTTTTGTCCCTGTTGCTTTGTTTTCTCCCAGAAGACCAGAACCCCCAGATGTACTGAAATTTCACCACAACCGTGCAAAACCAAGTAATGTGTTTATTTACAAAGCAACCATTAGACCTTCTCAGCTCCGAGGAACTAACTGTAACAGCTTATTCATTAATGTCTACTAAACTCAAACACCTCCATTTACCTGGCAATAGGTCCAGAATAATGAATGCTTTTTAACATGCACATGCAAGATTCTATGAGATATAGTAAAAGTAAACTGAACTATCTCCCACCTTGCATACTCTAGCTATTCTTGGAATCAGCAATTTTCCAACAAATTCATACTCCACAGACACCTCAGTGAAAAAGAAGTATATCTTGTCGTCTTCTCCATCTGTGCTGTTTGGATCTGCTCTTATCACATCAGCAAAAACAAAGTTGGGCTCTACAGATGCAAACAGAAGAATTTTCTATTATATAGGTGACTACTAACTTGATTCTCTCAAAGACCCTCAGAAGTTGTCTTTCACTCAAACTCCACACTGCATTTACCTTCTCTCCACTCGCTGACCTACTTTACACAGTTTGCTGTACATCATATGAACAGGATTTCTTAAAAAACCCAAGCCACAAAAACAACCAGAAACAGAAAAAAACCCAGAACACCACAAAACCTATGTGAAAACCGTAAGATAGTGAGAGATCTCTATGATCTGACAGCTCATTACTTCAGCATTCTTCAGTCCACACTCAAATGTGTTTTTCTAATGGGCCTGGAGAGGTACCCCCCCTTGCCTGCCTCTCCTCTATTCCAGCTATTAGGTGAAGCACTAAAATGACAGCACCATTACAACATGTATTACAAAACTCAGAATCATGTACTTTTTGGACAATGGTCATAATTTTGGTCCTTTTTGGCACAAAGCCTCACACCCCTGAAAATTACAAAATTCAGTGAATTTTGAAATTCAGGAACTTGAAGTGTCAAGAACCACGATCAGCTCAATTTAAGAACCAGTTCAAGACCAAAACCATTCAATTCCAAACCATATCATAATTAAGCTGCATTATTGCATGGATAAACAAGCAGATAAGAAATAAACCATTAATGTCAAGTTGAAACATGTATATTATGAAGCTGTTTTCATCATCAGAGCTGATAAAAACCCTGAAATAAAATCTCTTGGTGGCATGCATGAGGGCACACATTCAGTGTATGCCAGTATAACCAAATGCAGCTCTTTGAGACATCAGACAATTGCTCTTTACCCAGGTAACACACTCAAACTCTGTACGTGTGATATTGAAAAAGTAACTTGTTTGGGCCACTTCTCATGCTCACTTACCATTAAGCCAGGGTATTGCATATTCTGTTCTCAGAGAACTCCGATGCAAGTGCCGTGAAATAACAGGTTCACTTCCCAAGAAATTATAGGGAGTCCCAGAATAAAGCTCCTCATCTTCAACACAAAACCAAATATATTAGAACTTATGGACTGGATACCAAAAGGGGTACATAAATATTTTGTGAGTCTATGTAAGTTTCAACTTCCCACAAGAAATAGTAAACATTGATTTCCTCCCAGTTGCCCTAGACATGTCTTTTATGTTTGCATTTCTGTCAATCATTCCCAAGCTAACACTTCCACACTTGGGTTTATTATTATTACTGCTCTAACACAAGAACTGACAAAAGTCAACCTTGTATTTGTGGCATCTTAGCATTTAACATGAAAACTTACAGTTTATCTTAAAACATACAAATTTACTTAAATGCACCAGAAGTCTGGAATTATTTTCCTCACTTTCTATGCCATCATTATTCAGACTCTATTTGTACAGATTTAGGCACAATGCAGGCAGCCTATTTTTTATTCTCATTTCCTGTTTCATGTGATGTTGAGCTTCTCTTTTATGATCTTGATACATGTAGGTACAAGCCACAGATTCTGGCTTCCCCAAATTAAGATTCAGTGGTGTGTTTCCATGCAGTAAGAGCACTGCCATTAAATATTTCACTTCCTTATTCTGTAGCATGTCTTCAGGACAGCTTACAATACTGTTTGTTATATTTACTGGAATTACAGTAATTGATACTATAAAGGCAGACTAAGTGCATTTAGACTAAATATGTTTAGCATCAAGAAATACAGTTTGAAAATTGGTATTTAATAAATTGCTTCCAAACAACCTAGAGTTTGAAGTTCTCCTTTTAAGAAACATGCTTAGGTTGACTACGTAAGTATTTTAACATCTCTACAGATACACAATACAGACGAAAAAATATGGATGGCAAGCCAAAATTTTGATAATGTCAAGACTGGAGGGTGACAGTGGAAAAGACAGAACATTTTTAAACATAAGAATGAGGAATGCAAAGTCTGAACTTACCAACCATAACAGATGTATAGCTGTGAGCAGGATCAAATGGACATCTGCCCTTACCGTCTTCATTTTTACCTCCAAGTTCAAATGAAATTAAATTCTGTAGAAAACCACAAAAAAACTATTAGCACTTTTTTCCTTCAGCCACTCAAATTGTGCAAAGTTAGCTAAAAACTAAACACTAAATAATGGGTTATATCATCACCTTCCAGCATCAAAGGCATTCTGTGTAAAATTATAGAAGACATATGTGCTTTCAGAAAATCTTATCGAGCCTCAAAGACAGAGAAAAAATGTGACCCTATAATTTGTGAGGGTGGAAGCAGAAAAGAGCAAAAGAGGAAAAGCTAAATCCAGACAGACCTCAAGAATGAGTACCCAAAAAAACTACACAACATGAAAGGCAGATAAATTAACCAATACATAGAAAGAACCATTGATTATTCAATTAGCTTGTAAAAAATGCAGACTCAGAAATCAAGAAGGCTTTCTGAGGTGGATTAAGCAATTTTTGAGACAATTGTAAATTTTGAGATAGGGCATAATCCAATTAGGTTTTAGAAAGGAACAGTGTACTTTTCCTGCTACTTTATAATTCCCTTGCAAACCAAAAGAATGCGGATCAGAAAGCTGAAAGGTAGCTACAGTATTTGGGAAGTGATCAGTTATACTATGTAATGAAAGCACTGGAAGCTGAAGGCACAAATAATTACAAGATTTCTCAATTTTTGAATTGCTGAGCACTGCAGTAAAGAAATGATAAAGGAGTCAGTGGCAAGAAAAGAGAGTTTTAATTTTGTGCTAAGACTTTACTCTGAAGGATTCAGCACTACACATCTTTGGCACAGCCAGGAGCAGAGAAAAGCACAGACAGGAATCTGGGAAATTTCAGGGAGACTCAGTAATGAGTGGTGGTTGCAAATAATGTAATTTCAGGTTTAGTAACTGGTTTCATGCTAACACACAATACTGGAAGAAGTATAAAAGATAAGAAAAAGTAGATCTGCAGTTAGGCAAGATAAATCATTAAGTGCTCTGCAAAAGGAGAAGTACACTCTGCCATTATGATGGGACAGTGCAACAAATGCTCCTAACCTTACAGCTAGCAGCGAAGATCCAACAGTTTTGAGAAAGCAGAGTAACTCATTGTTTGCCTGAGCTGCTTTCACATTACAGCTTATGCTGGTCAAAACGTGTGTATTTCTTACCAGGTAGTCACAGGTTGGCTGAAATGCATTAGTTCCACACACGTAGAGGAAAGTATCATTCAGCTGTTGCAAGACGCGCAAATAATTACGGCACTCTGTCTGTAACAGAGGATGAGGAAAGGACTAATAAACCATAGCTTCCACATTCCAACATAAACAAAAAACATTGTCCATTGCCACTACTTATGCCACATTACACTAGCAAGCCCAGGTGACACACGGGTGACACTGGGACACCATCTCCCTAAAATCTCCAGGAGCTCTAATCAATCCTGCAAGCAGCTGGTTTCCTACAGCCAGTACTATGCAGCTGCCTCGGTGTCCTAGCAGGACAGCATGCTCAGCTGGGTCCATCCCAAGCTGTTTCATGGAAGGACAAACTCCAAACACACCTCCAGTCCATGGGAACAACCAGTTAAACATGAAGTGAGTTTTAGACTTTGTCATCCCTTGTACATCTAGACGAAACAATGACAGCCAAGGCTGTTTGTTAAGTGCAAAACCTCCAATACCCTTAAATTAGCTACAAAGCTTTGTTGCCTACAGCTCTTTTTTTCTTTTTTTTTTTTTCAGTCTTTGATGTTGTCCAATGAAGTTCCATAATATCTTTAACTCTGAAACAGAATAAGGAGTTGGACCAAAATCCTTAACAAAGGATACAATAAAAATTCAGAATAATGAAGTAAAACAACTCTAGACAACCACTTAAAGAAAGAGAAAAAACCAGAGTCAATAATACCCCTTAATTCTTGCTGATACACTGCCAGATATCTCCACTAACTGTTGTTCCATGATCTTCTTAAGCAAGTTCAAGCACTGACCTTACTATTCCTTCTTATGAGACAAATTAGGTATTTCTGTGTATGGGAGAAAAAAGCAGGGGGAAGAGTGTAAAACCAGTTTTCTGCCAGATAAGGCCCTTGAAAAGCTGTATGAATGCTTTCTGCTGGCACTATACAGTACAGTGCTGATGGGTGGGGGAGAGAACTGCCCATTTAAGTTTAAGAAATAGCAGTAGTGGCTTAATACCTTGGCCCCTCTGAAACTACTGCACTGTGCAAAACACCATAGTTAAACCATAAATGGGACTAGTAGAAGGTTAGAAGTAAAGTGAGGAAAAAGCATGGCTAGCAGTAAATATGAACTGCTAAACTGGGAGCAGGAGAAAATAAAATAGATTAGAGCTTCATCAAAGTACATATTTATGGGGTCTATTATACCCCACTAAAATTTTTTGAGAGGACTTTCGGAGAGTCACACACACATCTGCTAAACATATACTCACGCACAAGACAAACTAATATCCCATATTTGCCATGGCTGTGTATCAGTATCATTAATAGCAACCACAACTGATCCATTAAAAAAAGTATTCTTTGATCCTATCCTGTAGAGGTAGGCAAGGAGGAAACACCTTAAATATTTGTCACACCTCATGTTCAAATAATGGACTGATGGTCATCAGTGGTCAGTCAAGGAAAAGAAGTAGCTAGTCAAAGGGAGACAGCCCACTCCCATCCTGATGAACCACATGAATGCAGGATAACTATCAGCCCTGGATGCCACATTTGGGGTTTTTTTATGAGAATGAACTAACCAGGCTGCACATTCAAAGATCATATCCCTCCAAGTGCAGAACAGATCTGCTTTCTGTTTTCAGAGGACTTGCAGACTTCTACTTTCAAACCTGTGTTAAAGGCCTGACCATCAGTCCTCCCAGCAAATCCTTGCTTTACTGCATCATTAAATGAAATGGTGTTACACAAACAGAAAGGTACATCCAATGCAGTCAACTACCCCAAGTAAACAGGCAAGAGAGGCAAGACAGGCCAGCCTGTGCCCTGGCAGTCATGAGGAGGTTCCCAGAAACACTGGGGGACCCTGCCAAGCTGACAGGAGGTCTGGCTGCTCTGGTGCCCTCTGAGTCACACCACAAGGGGCACACCCACTGAACAACACAAAATACACCTATATGGAGCTAGTGAAAAAATACACTGGCCTCATAAAAAACCCCTATGCCCTAAAGCAAAGCACACAAAATTAATCATTCACTCCATAAAATCAAATGCTGTGCAGGAATTACTGCATTAACAAAGCACAACAGTTGCTATCAATTACTTCAGTGACAGCAATACTGGTTTATTATCTTAATGGAAAACCATTAAAATTAAGTACACATTAGGGAGTGTTCAGATTTTCAAACATTCAAATAATATTGAACAAGAAAAATAATGAACTAAGAAAAAAAAAGACTAAGCATTCTGTAGTTTCTAACACTCAAGTTAATTAAAAAAAATTAGGTGATTTTTTAAAAAATTTTAATTTCAAACAGTTGGAGACTTTCTTCTTTTAATGCTACTCCTCTTGAAGTAAAATGTGCAAGATCTTTCTCAAAGTTCAATAAAAATACATACCTGTTCTGATTTGCCCTTAACTGCACATTTAGTCCTTTTATCTTCTGTGACCTTCCAGTGTAACTATGTGAAAAAACATGTAACAAAAAAGCACACTGAAAGAACTTTAACTCAATGCAAAGTCTGAAAATACTGCAGTAACACATGCAAGAAAAGGCAACCCCATCTAGAAGAAATGCAAGATGATTTGCAAGTAGCATTCAAAGGTTCAAAGCCATTTTTTCCTAGGGAGGCAACATTTTCAAATCCATGTGCCTTACTCAGAATTAAACTGCCATCTTCTGGGTTCATAATGACGATTCCCCACGAATGGCTAATGTACTTTTCATTAACATATACATTAGGGAAATGCAACTGTAACTGGCTTAAGTATTTTTTCAAATTGAACTGCTTCTCTATTTCATTAACACTTGAATAAAAAACACTTGGGGGAAGGAATCAAAGAAAATTTACTCGACTAATTTGCATTATACTGAGAACAATTTTACAGCTACGTTGTATACGTATATGCTGGTGAAAGGGCCCACCACAACCCATGAACATGTTGTTCAGATTAAAAATCATATAGCATCTTCCAAAACACCCTGGGTGCTAGTCCATGCTGTACCTCTACATGTCAGCCTGTGTTGCTGATGCAATGAAAAGCAGGAGCCTGGGAAGGACCTGGAAGCAATATAACATTAGCAGACTTCTGCCTGGGCTAATCTACTTTGAGAATCCAGCACAAATATATTCAAAGTACTCCTCTGAGTGAGCTGATCAGACCTGTCTGCACCAGCAATTGCTGTGCAGACACACCTAGACATAAAACAGAAGATAACACCAAAAGAACAGGGCCTTCTTTTGCAGCACATCTGCAGCCTGCTCCGAGCAAGCCTCAGATTTGATTCTGTTTCAGACTACTTTTTGACTCTGATGAACAGAAAATGACCCACTCCTGGTAGTTAAGAAAACATCTAAGAACTATAATTCCCACAGTCCCTCTCGTCCATCCTGCTCCCAAGAAGAAAATACCAAAGGAGATCACCAATTACTTGTTTATATCCAGCTTCTCCTTTCTTACTCTCTTTTACTCTGTAAAATCTTCTAGAAATAGTAATGGAGTAGGCCATACAGAGCAATTTCTTTTTTAGGTACCTATTTGTCTAAAATGCAATGCTACTGATATCAGGAAATTAAGTCAATTTTGGAGTACAATAATGTATTAAAAGGCATACCTCGTTCTGCTTCTCAGCAATATTCACTGCGTTTAAGGCAAAGATCACATCCCTGGCTCCTACATATAGAACATTTTTGTCTTCATTTAACAGCAAGGTTGAATAGTTTGACACTTTTGATTCATTAAAATGTATTAGCTGGACCTCTGTTGAAATGGAAAAAATATAGCACCTCATGAAGAAACACAATCACTTAGGGACAAGCTCATGAATAATCTTTTCCTAAGTTATCTAAATAGCTGTTGGAAAACTTGAAAACAACAAAGGTTAATTCAGACAACCTGTGTAAAAGACAAGGGACCCCTCAGAAGCTTGGTTCAGCAGAAACAGCAGCTTCTATACATCAAAATCACTTGTCCTGACTTTCTCATTCAATTTCAAATGCTCGAGTATTTCCTCTCGTAGTGATCCCTGTAACTCACTTCTTCCTTCTTTTTTTTTCTACTTGCTTTTTCTAAACTTGTATTTTCCACATCCACTGTCAAGATTGTTCCTCTCACCTTTTCCTTTCCATATACCAATCTACTGTGGAAAATCAGGCCAGTCACCACATCCATCTGCAACTACCCTGAACAAATCCTACAAAACATTCTCCAGCTTAAAACAACTCTTCAGCATACTGACACAGCAGAGAGAAGACACTTAAGCAAATAACAAATCATTTGCAGCTGATTGTAAAGTGAAAACCAGAGATGAAATACACAACATACACACAAAATAACAGCATGAGGGAAAAATTTAAGATGAGTAGAAATAAGACAAGAAAAAGAGAGAAAAGGCAGTGGAATGAGGAAGAGTGTTGAATGGACGAGAATGGCTTGAAGAAAGATGACACAAACTGATTAATACAAAAGAGTATTTTTTCTGACTGTACAACTATAATTTAAAAATGACTGAAAGCTTTTGTACATGAAGATGAGAGATTAATTATGCATGGCTTTTTACAATACAGATGAAAACAATGTACTAGTACTTCCAGTTGTATCATTAGTAATTTTACATTTTCAACTGTAATACTCCAGAAACATTAATTTTAAAACAGATTCTCAAGCATGTAATTTTGAAATATTTTACTTGGCAGAAAAATTTTCTCAAAATGGATGAACTGATTCATGCAACTCCACTGACCTAAATACCCTCTCCTATTCAAAGTAGGTTTCCCCAACTTTTAAATGCAACAATCTTTAGCAGACAGATAAGAAAAACAGCAGGAATGAAAATAAACTCCATTTCTTTTGACTAATTTGGATGTGAGTCAGCAGTACCTTACTATACCATTAAATAGCAACTTGTCTAGGCCACCCTTTCTGAAAGGCTGTGTCAGCAACTCACTAACTGCTATACTAACAATCAGGAAAAACACTTCCTACAGTCATTCTGCAGTCTGCTTATTCCTACTACATTCTTCGTCTCCATCTATTTTTTCCTACATAATGTCTGCTCAGAATTTAACATTTAAGATTGCTTCATTATACAGCCAATATATTTGTTTGGGTTTGTTCAGTTATTATACACTTGGGTAAGTAATCAATTGCTGCTTATTAATGTTAAAGAAGGACCCAAAGACAAAAACTCTTAAAACATCCATGCCACAATGGGGGGGGGGAGGGGGAGGGGAGGAGCAGAAAAAAGAGAAAAATGCATATATTTACAAAATACTACTCTATAAACTTTGTTCTAAAGTTCTTTTCAGAGCCAGGCTAAATTATTAAACCAAAACCTAGGGGTTCCCTGATTTCTATTACTTCTCTTTGCACTTTTATTTGCAGACTTCTGATTATTGTATTGGGAGGTTATGCATATGTGCTGCAATTTCAAATGCAAGAAAAGCGCTGTTCTGTAGAAGACTTTCATATCTAGACACCATAAAATGATGTTGAAAGCGGTTCAAATGCTTATTTTCCCTTTGTCTGTTGACAAAGGTAAAAATAATTTGTTTTAAATAAAATACCCCTACTGGGGTTTTCTCTTGAAACAAGTTTCAGTTGCAATATCCTTCAGCTGAGAAAGTCAAATTTTGAATTCCTCCTTTTTCAAAACTGCTCTGTTTTCAAAGCTGCTTGAAGGAACCAAAGTCAGTTAACCCAGTGCCCAAATGACTTTTGAATATTCTGGTCCTAAGCATTACATGAGGTGAGCAAAGTAGCAACACCTGACCCACTCACAGCAAACTGGCTGAAAGAACCTAAAGCCTCAGTTCAAATCCCACAGAAACCCTGAGGATGTGGCAATGTCCCAAGTTACAATACTTGAATTTCTGTTCTTACCTTTGTGTTCCCAAGTCATCCTCGGCACTGGGCCAAATGCTACTGACACGTCTAGCAAGAAACCCCAAACCGCATAAAAAGCACACAGAGCCATCTTCAGTGTCCCTGCTCTTCGGGGCTCCCTGGATAACTGCAGGAGGTAGCGTTTCTTTGGCAGATGAAATGGAGACCCCAGAGAGTGTTAGAAACCAGACATTTCAGCTCTTGAGAGCAACACAACAAGGGAGGCTGGAACGACTGTACAAGTACGTGCTTTTCAGCAGATCATTTCAAGAGAACGCACATTTTCCAGGATGCTGCATACAAAGACTGCCCACACGCTCCCCAGGCTGCAGAGCTGCTGAGAAGTGTGACTGAGTGCATTCTTCTGTTTGCCAGAGAAATAAATGATGCTGTGGAGAGACGGGGAAGCAAGAAGTAAAAGATAAAGCAAACCAAATACTGCCAAAAATAGCACTGATGTCGCAGCATTTCTACAGCTGTCTGCATATCTTAATTTGGATACAAAATATACTAATTGGTGAAAATAATACTCTTAAAAATAAGACACACATTACATGGCAAATGCACAATAATTGAAAGCAATCATTTCAATCTAAAATTTCCAAGTGTAAATACTTTGAATTGTCAATTATGTTTAATACACAAAACTCGATTCTAGTCTAGTCTTTCGATAGTGTGTCAAAGAAAATCCCAACTCTCTAACAAACAATAAACAAAGATAACAAAAACCACTAAGAACATGAGACATGCAGCATTAATAGTAAGAATGGTTACACAAGTCTGCTGTACGTCCCATACTTGGGATCTTAGAGCTAAGTCCTTTTTAGTGAAGTTTTCTGTAACACTACTAATTCATACTCAAGGTGTGTGGTATCCAGGAGGTGGAAATACAGCTACACAAACAAAGAGCTAATGCACTGCATACAAAAATTAAGAGAGAAAACACTTCAACAGTGAAACTACTATATAGACAGTACCATGAAAGTCATTGTGCGTCTAAGTCAACTATTACTCTCAGACCCAGAAAAGCCTGTCCTAATAAACAAAACTATTCACTGCTTTCTCACCATCTTCCAGAAGTCTCCACTCCTCCTGTCTTCCTACAACCACTCCTAGGTGAAGACTCCAGAAGCAGTGAGTGCATTCATCAATTACTAGATTATAAATAGGTTTTGAGGCCTGTACACTTGGGGTGATAATGAAATTAACATGTTGCTCTTTTGCAGCACGGCACAAGATGCTAGATTTTCACTGTGCCATCACTGCCTGAGACACTGAGGTGACTCTAGTAGGAGACACACTACAACAAAAGGTAACTGTAATACCTAGAAGTTATCCAGCAGGACGGCAAGTGAAGGTGTATTGATTTGGATGGCTTGGTTTTGGTAGCGGGTGGGCTACAGCGGTGGCTCATGGAACAATCTGCTAGAAGTTTCCACAACATCCAGTAGAGCCAACCTGTGGCAGCTCCAGAGACAGACAGGCTGCTGGCCAAGGCTGGCCCAATTACAAATGGTAGCAATGTCTCTGTGTTAATATATTTAAGAAGAAATCAAAATACAGTTGGTGGAACAGTTTTAGCTGTGAGCAGAAAAGAGCAGAGTGAGAACATGTGAGAGGATCAAGAGCCCTGCGGACACCAAGGGCAGTGCAGCAGGAGAGCAGGAGGGGCTCCAGGCACAGAGCTGGGATTCCCCTGCAGCCCCTGGTGCAGCCCATGGTTAAGCAGCTGTGCCCCTGCAGCCCAGGGAGGTCCATGGGGATGCCGAGATCCACCCACAGCCCATGGAGAAGACCCAGGCTGGAGCAGGTGGATGCTATAGGAAGCTGTGAAGAGAACTGAAGAAGCCCTGAGAACTGTGAAGAGAGGGGCTCTGCTCCCTGCTGCAGCAGCCTTTCCTTGAAGGACTGCACCCCATGGAAGAGTGACCCATGCTGCAGCAGTTCTGGGAGGACTGTGTGTCCATGGGAGGGACTCACATTGCAGCAGTCACAGAAAGCTTCTCTCTTGAGAGGGACTCACATCAGAGAAGCCCATGGAGAACACTGTCCTGTGGGAGGGACCCCACAGTGCAGCTGGAGAATGACTCCTCCCCTGAGCAGCAGGATAAACCACGGCTGATGAATTTACCATTACCCCCATTCCCTGTCCTCCTGCACCACTGGGGTAAGGAGGTAGAGCTTGGGAAGGAGGGAGGGGTGGGGTGAAAGTTGTTTTTAAAGACTTTTTTTACTTCTCATTATCCTGCTCTGTGTTAGTAATGTTTTCAATTCATATGTCTAATTAGAGCCTGCTTTGCCCACAATGATATTAGATGAGTGATCTCAACCAGTCCTTATCTCTACCCATGAATCCTTCCTTAAATTTTCTCTCCCCTGTCCAGCTGCTCAGGAGAGTGAGTGAGCAGCTTTTGTGGGAGCGTGGCATCCAGTCAGTGTCAACCCATGACAGAAGGTTACAAAATCATTAGTAACATTAAAAAGGAAGGGGCCAGTACTTGAAAAACACAGAGGTAAAAAGACTAAGGGAAAGCTGCATCAAGAACATCTCTAAGCACGAGCAAGATTCCTCTGGGAGGACCTGGGTTTAAGCAGGAAAAGGCAAGGAATCTCTAGTAAGCACAGCCAGTGTATCTTAAGTAAGGTGGTAGAGTAGAAGACGGGCAACTACATTCTAAGTGTTTACACCTCCTTTACGAAATGATCACAGGCAAGACTGAAAGATTCAGGAATCTCATTTATTTCTATAAATATCTTATCTACTAAGAAAATCATCCATACAAGACTGTAACTTGCTCAAGCTGAACCTGAACTGTATTTTTTTTCTGGTGTTTTTGGTCTTGGTAAGCACAAATCCAACTGATTGTAGCAGATCATATAAATTATTTTGGGTTTTAATCATGCTTTCACTTAAGCTTGCTTAAGTTAGGTTTTTTGGTGTACCTTTCATCCTTCCTGTTTATCATCACATACAAGCAATTCCAGGTTTTGCTCACCAATACATTAACAAGTGCCAACTCATCTGAATTACAAGGCATGGCATATTCTGAGGCAAGCAAACAGCTTTACAGATAAGTGTTTAAAAAGAGATCAATTATTAAGTTCCAGGCAGTTTAGCTACTTTAAGAGAAATGTAAGGAGGAAAACAGCAGTTTGAATACAGCTAATCTTTTTCTTAATGCTACCTTTTGTTACTGAAAAGACTGCATATAAAAATCAATTCCCTGATTTTATTTTTTAAATTTTTTAAAAATTTATTTTAAATTTATTTTTTAAAGATACAGCCAAGACACCTTAAAGCTAACAATACCATACATACACCATACATATGTATAATATCATACAGCAAAGATGATTCCAGAGGAGACTTCTGAAGTCCTGTAAATTTGTTGCACTTTCATATAGGATTAGCAAACATAAACCCTAGTAAATGAAAATCCTGAGTTTTCCTATAGTCACATTTCATTCCTAGTCTAGTTTGCCTACCTCAGTAAATGCAAAATAACAATGAAGCTTGAAACAAATTACATTATCTTTTGAAGGAAACAAAGGATTTGGCTGGATCCTTTAGTGCCCGCTTTGCTGTATGGACTGAGAATTGCTTTGACTAAATAAAATGAAAATTTGACTTCATTCCTATTGTACAGGATTGCAAGAAAGGTCCTTTTTCACATTAATAAGACTTGTTCATTATTTGATCTAGGGTAAAATTTTGCATGTTGCAAAATGACTACAGTGAGCATTACATGCCCAGTTGTGCAAGATCCACTTTTTCTCATTTCTATAACTTTAAACAGAGATTAAAATGAATTTAGAACCTTGTCCTTTAATTTAGCCTTCAATTTACTTACTCTCCCCTTCCCTTCCCTGTGCTGAAAATTATCTGGAGTAAGTCCTTCACGGACATCCACTGAGAGATCATTAATACTCTAATATGAACCTATTTTTACATAACACAAGGGGTAGAAAAAGTAAAAAAAAAAATATATATAAAAGGCCCAGACAATGGCCTCCTTTCCAGATTAACTCAGTTCCATCAATGTTCGCTAGTTTTGATTAGATCTGAGTGCTCTGAATTTCTAAAAAGTTAGGTCTCCTAATACTTTGAGCATTACTCCCAAAAAAATAAGGCACAATTTGCTTGGAAACAAGTACCACTGAAGGAAAGGAGAAAGCAACCTGAAATACTTGGTTATGCAACTAAATTCTGACTAAAATGACCACAGGTCGACTTTTCTGTAAAACTGTTAAAATTTATTTGAGGTTAATAATCAGTAAATCCATAGTTTAGGGACTCTGATGATAATTCTACATCCATGATGTAATGTGTAATGATGAAATGGAGTAAAATGAGATTTCTGTGATGCTTGTATTTATGGTGACTAAAACCAGGGCAACTGTAGAAGCAATCAGAACAGCTCCTGTCAGCTCAGGAGAACACAGCTGGAAGCTCAAAGCTGTGAACACGCCCCTTCACATGTAAAATTGTACATAAAGAGAAACAGGTAAAAACAACCTTCTGCTCTCTCGAAGGAAATTCAAAGCTGTTAAAAAAATTTCAGGCTGCATAACTGCTAGTAAGGAATACTAGCCCAAGTTTTGACACCAAGAGGTTGCAATGGCATATACTATTTCGAAGATCAGAAACCATCTGTCTCTCACATCACCTGTGTCACTAGGCACCAAAGAAGCAGTGCTGCAGTCCACCTTCTGCAAAAATGCAAAATCCTAGTCATGCAGTGTGAGAAGCTGGAAAATTCACATGGAAAGGAGACCGTCATCCTTCTAATCCTCAAGGACACAGAGGCAAAGTACACACAAAGAACTTCTTGTGAACACAAAATTTAATCTTTCAGAGATGTCAATTCCACAACCCTTGCCAATACCCAGATTTTTTTTAATAAGTAATGCAACCCAGAGGCAAGTGTCTTCTTCCCCAGTCAGCATGGTACGGCTGGATCCAAGTATGTATCTCATATGAGCAAATACCACACATGTTAGCCAGATTCTGGAATTTCAAATGTAGGAAATGGCCAATTTTGCAACACTTGTTTTGAAATATTTTTTCTTCTGATAAACACTTGGTTGCATTGTGCAACTTCTCAATTTGGCTCAGTATTACATAAACTGCTAAGTGGATCTAGTTTTATTTTGTATATGAAGGTTAAAACCAGGAGGATTTATTAACATACCAGAAAAAGTCAACATCATAGCTGGGACTCTTGTGATTCCCAAGAAATGATCATTACCATCACAGAGGATCCAGCCTCTCCCCTGAAGAAAGCCAAACACATGCTGGCCATTCTGGCCTAATTCCATCACTCTCTTCTTGATTCCCCAGCCATGCTAAATGCCTCTATAATTTTCCTCCCTTTTTGTATTGCAGTTTATCTCCTTCATAGGGTTTATATTTCCTTGCAATCCCTCATCTACTCTATACTTATTCATGCCATCACCCACTTTTCTTCCCCAACACAAGCAATGCACTGCTCCATGACCACAGGTGATGCCAACCCCTCAGTGAGGCTGCCAGGCAAAAGACCACCTTCCTTAAAGGAAGGCCCTTTAAAATACATAATTCCCGACCTCCCCCTAAAATCACTGCACATCACTCATTGTCCAGGGACAGCAAAATGAGGACCTCACAGTAAGGAACAACTAACTGCAAGATACCCTTTCTCCCCACTGCCAGGAGTTTAAAACAACCATGGCAGGTTTGCCAGGCAGTCTACCCCGGTATTTTTAGATCATTAAAAAATAAAATTAAAAAAAAAGAAAACATCTCAAACAACAAAAAATCCAAAAACATTTGCAAAACTTACAAGGAGTAACTTGTAAGTTACTATGATGAGGGACGTGAAGCTCAGTATGTGGAGACAAGCAAATTTATGAGTGAATTGCTTCCACCAGCAGAAAAAGATGAGTTAAATGATTCAGCTGTCAGAGGGCATAAATTACAAGTTCTCCCTAAATAACTTTCTTTTGAAGCTTTAACAGAATACAAGCCTGCTTTAATATTTATTGATGCCTATTTTAGAACAGATTCTAAGGCTCCATATTTGAAAAGCAAACTAGAGAAACCCAATGAGATTTTACTTAAACCTGCTTTCTTCTTTTTCAATTTTGTTTCCAAAACTGAAAGGAAAAGTTAGCAGTATTTGTATTTTAAGTAATCAAAATTGCACAATGAGAAGAATACAAAATACCTTTGACACCCGAGTTTTATTTATACAGTTTGTGAATTTCAGACCAGTAAAGACAGGGTGGTAGTTGTCACCCTTTTAAAAACCTCAAGCACAGTTCCATTTTTATACAGTCTCATGAAAAACATCATTATTTACCATCTTTTTATTATAAAATACATATGGATTCATTTTCTCCTGAAGTAAGGTACAGCCTCAAACTAGTAAACCAGTAGCCCTTTATGATTAACATACATATAGAGCACGGGATTATTTGCATTTTGAACTGTAACCAAAATACTTTGTAGTTGCTAAATGATTACAAATTAGATGAAGATTCCCAAGACAATTTGGCGTGGTCTTTATCTCTGCCACAAAGCCTGCTGGAGGATGTGCACTTGTGCTAAAATATAAAAGCTGAAGAAACAAATTCCCAGTTTTAGGCCAGAAATCAGTATTTTCTGTTTCTGCATGATAAATATGTCATCAAGAAGCCCTCGGGAAACTAACGTGCTTCAGGGCTGGTGCTTGAAGAAGAGAATTTATCTTCAGAGGGATACTGCTATAGATCTATTATTTTTTTAAACTCACATTCCTGTTCTTTTACTACTACGTTCTTTTTTTTGTGGGCAAAGATTACATGAAGATAAAGTATTATGCAAAAAAAATAATGACAAGACAGATTAAAATCCTTATTTTTAAGATTGTGGGCAGATCTCTAGGAATAGGATTCAACTTCAAAGAGCAATAGGAAAGAGCTAACTTTGATGCTGATTTATGCCAAATACAGAATTCAAGAGGGGCATGTTCTAAAGACCCTCTTCTGCCTGAGTACTCCCAGATATTAAACCTGGGTCGTGACAGTGACAGTGCTGCAGTTAAAACCAAGCAAGAAAGTGCCTGCAGTTCATCTTCTCCTACTAGTTGAACATACTGTCACAATCAAATATTGCTCAGTTTCTTTCTCATTTTTTCTTGGGCTCACAAGACTGAATGAGTAATTTGAAGTTATTTGAAGATGCCTCTTGGCAACCAATGGCACACATGAAAGTACCTGCACGTCTAAATTAACAGGTATGTGTGCTTTAAAAAAACTATCCTAGGTGTCCAGCAACACTTTCAGAGTCAAACATCTCCAAAAGCAAGACCAGTACCCCTTCATACATAGAAACCATGTAACATAGGGAAGGTGCAGCCCTAAACAGCCTTTTAGTGGTAACTAAAGAACAGGAAAATAGTATGTTCCTGAGTGAAAGAAGTCCTTTCCTGGTATGTTTCCTGAGTATTTTGGCCTTGAAGCAGAAGAATGTAATAAATTCAACTAATAATCCAATCCTGATTTACATTTCTCAGTATGCACCAAGTCCTCAGTATTCTTGAAGTACATTTATTTGTTTTGCTAACAAGGACACCTCTAAGAGAGTCACCACAAATCCAACACAGCCTCCCATTGCTGTGGGGATGTACTTCTGATTTCAATGCACGTACCTGCCACCCTTCGGAGCCTCCTGCGCACTCCAGAGCTGGGAAGCCGTCAGGAAAATGTCCTTTCTGAAAAGAGGAAGAAACAGGCTTTGACATCAGTACCACATAATCCTGAAGGACAAGTTTTGATATGGGAAATATAATAAATCCTCCTCAGAAAGTTTGGCTTTTATTTTCCAGATTTCCAGGGCAGGGCATTCCTGACAAAAACCAGAACTGCTGCATTTGCATCCAGTGAGCCAAGATCCTGACGTTGCACTTAACACAAAAAAAATATTAAGCAGACCTGATAAAAAGCAGACACATCAGGCCTTTAAAAACTCAATTTGTTTCTCCTATCCCAAGCTGGCTCATACCTACCCAGCACAAAATTATTCAGCACTTGCACTGCAGCAGCAATTACTGATACTGTAAGAGTCTGGGACCCCTCATGTGCTGGTATGGATTGTACCAGAGAGAGGTTAGACACCACTCAGCCTCACAAACAACTACCTTTACTAAACTCATATAAAGCAGTTCCAACACTTTCCTGCATTATTAAACAACTCGCTATGCACAAACTTAGGACAGAGGCCCTGGATATTGACAGTGAAACCCAGCATGCTTATATTTATTTTGCTGTAATCACAGGACAAGAGTGGGCCACTCTGAAGCAATCACAACTGGGCACAAAAACGCATTTATCCCAAGACTCCTCTATGTAACATGCTTTCAAGACACAGACTCATAACACTGTTACATCAGATTCTATTTAGCATATGTATTTCCTAATGCTCATCAAAGCACTTTTAGAAGGCTGAGCCATGTGAAGGGATAGTGTTTTTTTAATGCAAGTCACTGATGGTCTGAAGTAGATTGCACTATAGTCAATAGTAAAGGGGTTCCCAAAGATGAAAGTGCTATGATGGTGCACCTGACAAAAAAATCTCCACTGCACTTCTGATGGCTTTATTCTTGTCCCAGAAGATCATAATGACTCAGAAGACAGAAGCCTCAAAAGAAACAGGCTACAGAAAATCACAAGAAGCAGCTCAACACTGCAGGTCTGTCTAAGGGAGAGCCTCTACAAGGTCTTTTCCAGAGATCTTCAACAGTGCACGTTTTGTGGTTACCAGTGTAGTAAAAGGCATCAAACAGCTACATCAAGCACATTTTTCCTTACAAAACAGTATTTTCAGCATCTTTTAGGCTATATAAAGAAGGCAAGGTTGACTGATTTTCCCTACAATGGTTTTTGAACAAGCTACCCCACAAAAATCCATTACACCCATCTATGTTACCAACTGGCTACTTTTCACAAACAGCAACAGAACGTAATTGACTTATTTTGATGGAAAAAAAAAAACCCCATCCACCTTTCATTCTGTTGAAAACACACTAGAGCAAGCAAGTAAATCATCTGTAAATCATCGGATCAGTAACCAAGCTCTCCACAAACCAACTTACACCACATCATCTCTATGGCTTTAGCTACTCAGTACTGAAGTGAATAGTTAAAATTTACAAAAACTTCCTGGTTGCCACAAGAGACTATCAATCAACATAGCCACTATCGCTACTGGAGTTTTCAGATCCAAGTACACCTCCTTACAGCTTAGGCTCCCACAGCAAACTATAATAATCTATTTTAGCTTCAGGTACCTTAAGGGAAAAGGAAAAATCTCTTTTTCCTCTCTTAAGAAAGTGCTTTCAGAAGCCTATAGCTTGTACAAGGACTTTCACTGGACAAAGCACTTGCATCTAAATGAACAGCTACAGTGGGTGTGAAACTCCTCTGAAAAGCCTAGCAGCAAATCAGCTGACCTGTATACTTTCCTGGCTTACTTTAAACAGCCTGACCTGGAGGTTTTCAAGTCTCAGCAAATAGCTCCAGGTTTCTGAACTGTGATCACTGGGGACTGAAAGGCAGGTGGCAGATGGCTGGAGGTCAGGCCACCTCTCAGCCAGCCTCTGGATCTCCACGGAGATGGTGAGAGGCAGATGAGCTGCTAGGACTTCCAAGTTCTGGCACCTCAGCTCAGGAACTCTGCGCCTAAGAGCAGAGTCTGTCCTCCTCAGTGTGGTCCTTGGGAAGGGACCAGTAACCATCAGTAACCATCAGCATTTCCAGCAGAGAAGCCCACAGGCATGGGGCTGGCTGTGAGGGTGGCTGGGCTAAGGTGCAGGGTGCTTTGCAAGCAGGGGCTCATTCTGCTCCTTTGGTCACACTGCCACTGCCTGACTGTCAAGACACCACCTATAGCCATGCTACACACAAGAAATTACTCCCAGCTTGCCAGAAGTTATGACATAATTATGTCCTTTAATCCAACTAGGACTTGAGCATGAAATTAAACATCCACATGAGCACTGCAGGTTGGCAGACATCCTTCAGGTGCTCTTGTTTGACCCAAACCTAACAGGTGATCCTTTACAGCAGGTACTGCAGAAGATCCTGAAAAAACCTTATGCCCTGTCAGGTTTTAAGAGTACTTAAATCTAAACTTAAGGGAAAAAAAAACTCTGAAATGTTTCTTCTGGCAATGATTACTTAAGCTTGGGGAGAAAAATTACACCATGAATAGCTCATTATTTTGACAACTGTGACTAAGTCTTCAAAGATTAAAGAAAACACCTACTGGATTATAAATGAAAGACAGCCCGGAATACATTATATAGAATAAAGGGATAGTCACCTTAACAAAATTTTTCATAAAAGATCCACAATCCTTCATATATCTGTGTTTGCATACACTTTATTTATTTGAAGGCCTTATAATTTGTCAGATTCCAAACTACATTAATGTATTACACAGTACTTCTGGCTGTCATGTCCTACTTGCATTTAAAAAAAAAAATTAAAAATCCAAAGAACAACTACCGTATACTACTTTTCCTTCTGCACAAAAATTACCATCTACATCAGGAGCATTTCTTTCATTTTCTGTTCAAGCATATCCTGCTGTAACCAGATCCTTGTGATTCTAAATGAAGAGGAGAAGAAAGGAAATTCAAAAAAAACTAGCTTATAAACAAATTTTCTTTATTTGGAAGTCTCTTTGGGAGCCTATAGGGGCAAATGTTAAGTTTGGGAACATTTTTATTGCTACAGCACTATATACCGACTTTACCAAAATACCATTTCCAGATAAATACCTTGATAATCACAACTAGAGCTATATTTGCTACCTCTATTTCATGTCAGCCACAACCTATACATATTGGCTTTCTTAAAAAACTATTTTAAAAGCCTGTGTGGAAGCCACAATAAAGCCAACATACAGCTATGAGTAAGACTGCACAGACAGCTGCCTACAGACAGTGTCTCTGACTAAGAACTTTCCTGTTAATGCTATGTGTGGTTTTAGATTTATATGAAAAGGTAGGCTAGACTACAAACTTAAAGAACAGTACATATACCATCACTATATTTAAATAATTGATCTGAAACACTAAAGTAATTGCTTCTGACACTGCGCCCACCCACTCTGGATGGGGCTGGTGATTATACCTGCACCACTGTGCAAGACAATGGGGGTGAAAAATTAGGTAACAAATATGCTACAATACTTAAAAGAGAAAACCCCCCCCCCCCCCCCCCCCCCCCCCGCCTTTCCTGCAACGTTTTCTTTTCATAAAAAAAAATCTTAATTTCACAGACTCACTTACTGGCCTATCAACACCCACCTACATTTCCTAAACATTATCAATCAACACAATCAGCAATTTTTTTACTTCAATAATAACAATATAAAGGAGACAATTACTACCCCTCTTGTCATAAAATCCCATGTAATCCATGTAATCTCCTATCAGAAAAGGAGCAATCCTGGAAATTATTTACTGGTTAAAAAACCTGAGCAAGAAGAAACAGCAGACAAGCCTCTAAATCTTACTCTTGCTTTTCAGTGAAAAGTAACAGAAAACAAAAGTCTACATTCTGCCTGCATTTGTCATTATTGCTCTTTATCAGATGTTCTTTAAGGTCCCTAAAGGAAAATCATGAGTTAAAAAGCCACCAAAGACCCACAAAAACACCCAAAGGACTATCAAGGTGTCTTACCCAAAAGACTATCAGCTGCCAATTATGGGGAAACATCTTAAAATATTAATAAGGGAAGTTACCTATTTCCATATTCACTCTGACAACATGCCAACCCAGGAAAGCTAAAACCAAGATTAACATATTGTATTATACCACCTACTTTTTTAAGAGCTTAGATCAAATAAGCAAATAAATTTTGTCACTTTCAGAGAACTTTTGTTCCTTTTCAACTATGTAATACTACAGTATTTCCCGGGTTTACTGTTTTGAATTGTTTACATAAACTGTATTAGCAGTGTTCACAGGTGATAGTCTGAATATGTTTATGAGTTACCTAAACATAGACTAGAAAACACCTAGCTTTTACAGTGTTTCATATTTAGTGTTCTTCAATGCTGTCTTGGTATTTTTCTCTCTTCCCTTGAGAAATATACAATGCCCTCCCAGAAAAAAAAAAATTAAAATAAATAAATAAAAACACACACAAAAAAACCCCACAAGGAAAAGACATGAAGAATCTTTCACATTCTTTAGAACTGAGTAATTTTACTATCTTGATAGTGCAGAAAACCCAGTTGTTCAGTATCAGATTCTAGTTTTTCAAGTTTTCAAGCCAGTTTTTAAACAAAATATGCCAGTTACTGACAGGTTCCAGATTCTGAAGTTTCTTGACTCTCAGGGGAGGCAAATACAACAACTACCTTTTCCACACAGCAGGTGTTTTCAGTACCAAAACATCTCTGGGCCAGTGTGCCCACTGAGAACACCCAACTTGTTACGCCATACATATTCCTACACACTGTCAACACCATGCTCAGGGACATTATACAAAACCAGCCTTAAACTAGCTTTAAAAGCACATTCAAAACACTGCCTTTCTTCTTTTCTTTTTTTTTTTTTTAATTCCCTAAACTTACTTGGCATTAAGTACAACAGAAGGAAGAAGAGGAGTAATTTTCACTGCAACAGATAAAATTACAAACCAGTACTTCTTCAACTGCAAAGCAAAACATTTTGCACCTTAAAGAGAAGCCTTGGAAGA